TAGTACACATGTGTACAGCAATCTTATGTCTACAATGTGTTGAACAGTTGGCTAGGTTAACAGTGTCCAGGAAAATAAAGGTGCACTATGTAACTTTTCTGCTTGTCTACATTTTGATGTTATTGTTATTTGCCTGGATTGTACCACAGTATCATATTCAGCTTTTCTATCTCCTTGGAGACAAGCAAACCACATCAACAGGCCAAGTTACAGGTCAGATCTATCAATAGGGGACCCAACTCTGAGAATGTGAACGTGTGAAGTACAGGGTTTTTTAAGATAATGCAAAATACTATGTCACTGTTGAATAATAAAAAGCATTATCTTATAAATACTATGAAAGTGGATGACATAAAAGGTTCCAAAGGTCAGTGCATGCCCTAAGAAGCAATTTAAAGGATTAAAGTAGAGATTTAATAGAAGTTCCCTGATGTTAAACAGCATGGGTCCTACTGATTAGATGCCATCTGGTTGATTCATTGTTAAACTGGGCTGTGATTCAGTTTATAATTTATAATTTACGATAATATTATTACTTGACTCTTTTTCTGAATAGGTCCAGTTTGAATCCGAATGTAGATTTTGTTTGGTCCTGTTGGTAATGGTTTAGTCCTGGTGTAGTCCAGATTTAGTTAAGGATTTATTCAAATTTTGATGTGTTGATTGTGTAAGTGTGAATGCACCCTTAAGATAACCTAGTTTACTTTCACTATGGTAATGCTACATATATTGCAATCCCACCACTGGAATTAAAACATACTTCCTTCTTTAAATAATCATCATACAGGATGAAACATGTTTTTGAAATTTAAATTTAAAACTAGTGCAAAAATACAATAGACACCTCATGTTTTTAATAGTGCTAAATTATGCAAAATCGACTCCTGTGGGCTTTAAACCATGTTTTAATCTTGTTACGTTCTCAAAAACATACGTGGAGTTGTGTTTTTCATTCACATGTTTGTCTGTCTACATCTCCAAAGTTCAAGATACTCTGTTCCACCTTGCACTGTCATGAAACTGTAGTTTTAAATTTACAGCTATCTTTTTAGTTCAGTAGAGATTGGCTAAAATGATCCAGATGATTCTAGTGAAAGTGTAGGAAGTGTGTATGTAGGTGTATGAAACAACATTATAACATAGATCAGAAAATAGCATAATACGGGCCCTTTAAAGGAGCAGTTGTTGACTTGTTCTTTTGGGAGTACAGTGATACTTAATCCAATATTTCTGTGCCCGACAAGTATTTAACTTTACAAAGCTGATGCAATTAGCTGCACATGTTACTCCCTGCTTCTTGGCTTTATCTCCATCCTATAAGAACAATCGCTGCTAATCCTGCCTTTATTCTGCACACTGTTTTGTCAATGTCGACGTTGGAGCATTATCCCAGCTTTAATCAGTGCACGTGCCCTTTGAAGTGCACGTCTTTTGGCTCTGAGTCTTTGACATGATAACTGCATCTTCATTTGAGTAGAGGGTTTCCCTTAGGGCCAGAGTGGAGATGCTAAAACGTCAACGCCTTCCTGTGCCAAATTAAGCTCTGCACGTCACATCTGAAGAAGACCACCGGCTTTATTTTTATTATCAAGAGAAATACATGCAGCCTCTTCGCTTTTCCTGTTTTGGCACTTGTATCTTCACCAAGGGAAAGCAAGAAGTTGACTATAACATCTTTTATTATCCTTATGGGATTTGAACATTTGAAACCTCAGAGGATCCCAGTCTGAACTAGGTTTGTTTTGGAGACGCTAATTCCAAATTTCCCTCTAGTTATATATAAAGAACAAGCCTTTGTTTAACTTCACTGCTTTACACACATAACACACTGTACGCATGAAATTTTGTGTTTACACCAGTGACGTAGTTGTTACGGATGCGGTAACGATGAAGCCAGGCATGCACTGGTAAAATGAACTGCTGATCAAAGGTGCAGAGGCAGGGAAATGCCCCGGGCATATAGGGAAAGGGGGAGGAGGAGGGGGAGAGTGTGGTATAAGAGAAAACAGGAGATAGAGGGTCCCATGAGGCAAAGGAAGCACGCTGACTGCCGTTATAAAATACAGAAATTACAAATTAGTATATTTAGGGCATTATATTGACAGGAAATGTGTGGAGCATATATTTATTCTTTAAAAATGAATAACTGACAGTTATATTGATGCATTCAAATGCTTAAGATATTCCTACATTGGCACAATTCTTAGTAATATATTTAATTCAAATAATAGAGTTTTTGATTATTTATTTGTCCATTTTCTACATCTTGTTAGTGTTAGGTTTTGTTTTCCAAGGTTCTATAGGCCTATGTCTAGGGTATACTGTATGCAGGATGCAAGAGCAGGATTGACAGCTAGAGGCATACATTGTTCACATTGGCATTTGTTCATTTCAGGCAATATAGATGCAATAATTATACTACATATACTCTATAATATTTTTACACCATACAAACTCAACATAAACTTTAAAAATCATCTTTTTCTAATAAAGTTTTACGCATTTAATCAGTGACTCTTCCTGGCAATGTTAAAAACAAACTGCTAGTCTTCTGCCCATTTTTTTCTTCTAATCCATACCTTCAGCATGTAGCAATGATAATCCAGTCAAATGAGTATGACAAAGTAGTAATGCAAAAATAAATATATTCAAAATACAATACAAACACAAAAAAATACAAAAAAGTTTTAAATTTTTAAATCATGAAAAAATTTTTAAATCATGAAGTGTACAGTTTTCTTGCACTCATCTTCAGACCAAACGTGGCGGTTGAGGCAGAGGCGTCAGACTGGGGGATAAAGGGTGTTTTTACTCAAGGTTCAGTCCAGGGAGTCATGCTCACAAAGTCTGTTATGTGCATTTTTCATTTAGAGAACTTGTAGTTCTGGCCCAGTGTCCACCAAGAGGTTTTGTACCCAGGGCCCAGAATTTGGAGCTACATCCCTGAGTCAATAGATGGAGCATGTCTGTGGGAGGATGATGTCTTCATGGAGCGTGGGAACTGTGCATTCCTTTAAAACTATGTGGTTGATTGAGCATCGTGTTATGGTCATAAAATATGTCTAAGCTGAATGTTGACCTTGCACTTTGGCTGTTACTGGACTTAAGAAGGCTTGATTAGCTTAATGCTGTTCTGTTGATTGAAAAATGTGTGAATTGCTAAAAATGTCACAATATGATTAATGATTGTACAGAATATTATGATAGGTCGAGTTAATAAAATCCAAATTGCTTCCTATCTGATACAACAGTGGAAAAGTGATATAATAATAGTAAGAAGTAGGCATATATGACGTAAGAGCTTGTAGATTTTGGTTGACAGACCCTCTTTTTGGGCGCGATGGGCGTTTTTTGTTGTGACAGTGACTGGGGGCTGTATCCAGCTTTCAAGGGTCAGTATTTGTCCAACTGTCTTTGGCTCAAGTCTCAGTGTCCTGCAATTGTTGAGCCAGCACAGACAACCAACATGAGAGTGAGTACTTCTGGAACTGAATATCATGTTTTTTTTGCTATTGGTAATTATGCAACATTGAAGATAATTGAATCGAAATCATATATCATCTTTCAGTCTTCTTTCAAATGTTATCATGCTAGAGTGTGGAATGTGGACAGAATCCCAGTATTTTTTTTTTTTTTTTGCCAAAATCATGTAGCTCTAGATTTTGTATTTTGTGTCACTGTATTTAGCACATGGAGACTAGGCAGTATTTCATAGATTAGCCCACTGACCTGTTTCCACCTTAATCAAAATTTGAAGCTGCAACCTCATAGCCTATAAAACTAATTAGAAAACATCTAGTAAATCTATATTTGACTGTTTGGAGAGCATAATTTTAGCTCGCTTGGCATCTGTCACTTGGCTGCAGATTTGATGGTGCATGGTGTTGATTTATGTTGTCGCCAAACATATTTAGCTATAAAATGTTTCTTTGATCCAGTCACTTATTCATCTTTTGGGTTCCCTTGTCGCTCTGGGCAACCTGGCAATCACAGCAGACAATGACACTTGTAGCTTTTAATCTTCTTTCTCGACAAAAATGGAGGCGCTAAACAGATGTGGGGAGTGGGAGGACACTTGGGTAGTTAGTAGCTGCCAAAAAAGTTAAACTCTTTTTAGAAATCAGCCTAAAGGGGTCTATTACTCCCACCTACACAGTTAAAAGCCACTGCTCCTAGATTACAGGCTAAAGCTAATGGTGGCGCGCTAGCTGCTAATCAGGCAGATGCTCCTTCAGTGGGAAATGTTGCTAACTGCAGGCTGTGTGTTTGTGGGTGGGAGTTTTCAGCTTCTCTGGTGTTCCTCGGCGACAAGAGCTGGATTTAAATGTAATTCAGGCATAAGAGGATCAAGAAGGAACAATGCTTTCATGGTCCCAAAGCTTAGTTTACTGTTTACAATATAATGCATTGTCTTATCAGAGGCTTTTCTATTTCCAGTGGTGTTTATACAAAATATAAACCTGCGCTTTTGTTCTAGTGCTTTTTCTCCTGAATGACTCAATGTTAACACAACGAGTGAAACTGAACTCGGCGGTATACTTTGTTAAAATGCATTGTTACAAAAATGCTAGAATGTGTTACTGGAAAAATGGCAGATTGTACATAGCTAATATTGCTCTCAGCTTGACGTGGCGGAGACTTCAGGGGGTTCTGTATGGGAACAGCTGACTCGCTCAGGTCGAAGGTCAGAGCAGTGCGTTCTACCAGGAGGTTCACACAGTGACAGCTGGACAACCAGACTCAGATTGGGGCACTCCGAGTCTGTGCCCCATGTGAGAGATTGAGCTCTCTGTTGTTTCAGTGGTGCTGGCAGACTCCACGTCTGCTCCTGAACAGAACAGAGCTGTGATTGGCACAGGAGGCTCTGTGGGTCTGAGAGCCCAAGCTTTGAACCTGTGCCCTAGTTTCTCAGCCCAAAGTTATGTGTCTGTTATGAGAGATTTGTCTTCATCCCTGTGTGACTGTTATCTGATGTTCTGGGTTTGTTTGTGTGTCAACAGGAAAGACAGCGACTAGAGACCATCCTAAACCTGTGCGCAGAATACAACAAAGGAGATGGGCCCGACCCCCTAAACTCCAGCAGGTTTCCCGGGGGACTGTCAGAGGGGACATGTGGGAGGCCCGCTGTAGACATTTTGGGAGGGACACCATCCTCGTCCACTCTGCGTCTGGCCCAGAGACAAAGAGAGAGTGATGAGGAGAATCTGAAGGAAGAGTGCAGCAGCACTGAGAGCACCCATCAGGAGGTGAGGATGTCCCCCGGGCCCAGCGCAGGCTCTGCTCTGCAAAATGGAGACAGACAGGTCAGAGGCTCGGAAGGACTGCATGTGCCTTGGCAATGCTCTGCTTGGCTTTGTCTTCAAAAACTTGCATTTATTTTATTTAAATAAATATAATTACTCATTTTAGTGATAAAACACATTTATATTGTTGAGCTTGCCATGCCTAGTGGAGATGGATATGCAAGGCAATCTTACTGCTCTGATAAACCATGAATCCCAACAGCTGGAAATAGTTTGATCTGTAAAAGAAATTACAACAGAATGACCCCTAGGGCCTGAAATAGAACCTTATTGCCCATGATGCATGGTAAATGGTACGTCTTGCATCTTACATAAGTTTCATAATAAACATCCATGAAGAGGATTTCATCATTTATACAGCAGCTTCATCAAAATGACCTTGGTATTGCTGCTTTCACCTTTGACTGTGACTTTCTTGTCTGACATTTCTTTGATGCTGCAGCATGAGGACTCTCCTGGCTCTAGTCGCCTGGAGCTGGGGTACCTGGAGGAGGAGCGGGTGCGTGTCCTGTCCCGGATCGATGAACTCAAAACACGGCTGACTGAACTGGAACAGCAGCTACAGGAGTCCAAACAAGAGGTAACATGATGGAAAAATTATGGGGACTAAATCATATTGAATGATTAAAATGAGATCTGTTGAAAATATCAAAAAACTTAATATTGTTATGAAAAAGATAACTAAAAGTCCATCTAGTAAAACATGCAGAAAACATATTCTGAAATGCATGGGGTGCAGGTGCACTGTGTAAGTTTTCTGGCAGAGGGTCTGCCACCTACTTGTTTCCATGGAGATATTATAGCTTTAACTCCAGTATGGTATTAAACTGGAACTGGAAGTGACACCACCAGGCCAGTTTGCAGGTCACATCTGTGGTGACCCCGCTTACAATAAATAATGCATGAGACTTGTCTGTTTGCGATGAAAAACACCCGTAATTTAATAAATGGATGATAGATCATCACCATGCAGACAAAGAAATAACACATAGACCTAGTTGTGTATAAAATTATGATATTTTACTATACTATTTTAGTTTAGACCAGTAATTGAATATCTTTTTGTTTTGTAATTGCACAGGCGGAAATGGAGCGTGCTTTGCTACAGGGCGAGAGACAGGCAGAACTCGATCAAATTGAGGCTGAAACAGACATCATCTCACAGCTCCAAAACAAGATGGATGAACTGGAGAGCGCCATTCAGAGGGAGAAAGACAAGGTAGACATGCCAAAGGAAGGAGCTTGGCGGATATCACATTTGTTACCTTCAAGTCTGAATCTACAAAGGCTTCATTCATACATTATTCCACACAGAACTTCACTGCCTGACTTCTAAAAGCCTCCTTTGATCTCTTACCTTTTTCCTGGTTGGTTATATTGGTGTAGTCAGGAGTTGCACCTAAAATCAGAGCCGTATATAGGATTAAACTAAGGTCTTGGTTCTCTTTGTGGGTGCTTTATCTGGCATGACTTCACTTCTCAAGTCCTTTTAACAAGCATCCATTAACCCCTGATGTCCATTGCTTCTCCGGTTCTCACAATCATCTCTGCTTGCCTCTGGATAGCTAAACCCTGCATGCTTATATGAAAAAAAAAACTGCTTGTCTTCTATAGTGGTTGGTGCTATGTGATGGTAGGATAAGAAATAAATTAGCTGAAATATAGGCAATTTCTCAGCATGTTTCTGTAATATGTGTTTACTCTTCACATATATAAATACATGCTCATACCAAACCGAACTTGAATTGTGCCTTTGTAGAATATTTCTTATTGAAATATTGTATAGACTATATTTGGCTCATCTGTTATTCTGCAATTTTCTGATCTATGTTTCCTAATCTAAAATATACCTGGAGTTGTGTTTTGTTCTTTCACATGTAACACTAAACCTGAAATCACAAATCCTGCATATGTATTTTGAACAAAAGGTAAAAGGTAGCTGTTAACTTGAAAACTACTGCTTCATGACATCACAAAGTGGAACAGAGCATTTTGAGCTCTGGAAATGTAGACAACCTAATAATACAAAATTATGTGTGAAAAATGTGTGAATGAAACAAAATGCAACTCCAGGTATGTTTTTGAGGAGGTAACCACATTGTAACATGGCTTAAAGCTCTCAAGAGTGAGTATTGTGTAATATAGGACCTTTCATTAATTTGTACTGCAGGGTCACAATTGATTTTCCTGGCACATTAATTTATCCCTATTGCATAACTGCATAAGTGTTGCACCCATAAGCTGAGTCAGAACTTTTAAGAAATATATGTTTTAATATACATTTTTACCTGATTTTGGTCCAGTTATTTGAGGCCACTGTTTGCTGTAATTTTCTGATTGAAACATAAAACTAGGACAGCACTCAGGAGATGTGATGCTTTTGTCTGTTTAGATTGTGTCCTTACTTGCCTTCTGTGCCTCCCTGCATTATTATTCAAATTCATTACCAAATTGGGCCCATTACTTCCCAGCCCAACAGAACTTAAATACATTTTTGATTAGCTCGAGCTGTGCTGAAAATAATTAAATTTCGAGAAGATATTTCTAATTTGTGACCCCTTAAAAGTGTGCTATTGCTAACCCTGCAGCCTGGATTTTGCATGGCGTGTACTGAGCCGTGTTTTCTCTCTCTCTCCCGGTCCATCCATTGTGTGCCTGTGTGTGCGTGCGTGTGGTGTCTTCTAGGAGAGGGCTAAGGTTGAGGCTGAGCGCCAGGCCCTGCAGAGCCTCCAGGAGGGCTACGCGGAGCTCAAGAACCAGCTTCATAACTGCCCCGAGTCCCTGCGCGAACAGTTGCAGGAACAGCTCAAAAGGGTGGGTTTGTCAGTCGAGCAGAAGCACCAAACCCAGTGTCCTCAAGAAGTGGCCCATAGATTGATACTCTAATTTACAATTAAGATAATGTGAAGATAAAAAAGATATGCACTATACACATACGCATATGCAATATGTAAAGGTGCACTGTAACTTTACTGGTGGATCGTATGTCGCCTGTTTGTCACCATACAGATGTAATTGCCTGGATTATTTTATGGCATATATACAGCTGTGTGTAATGTTTACAGGTTGCAATATACTTTGACAACATGCATTCTTACTGTGAGAGGGGGCCCCTCCACAGATCTGAAATGTAACTTGGTCTGTTGATCATTCTAGGAAAAGAAAAACAATCGGATCACAAGAAAAGTTACACTGTGCACCTTTAAAGCAAGAAATGGATATATGGATATGGACTGTGCAGTGGCGCAAAAAATAAGGAACAAAAACATTAAGTCACTGTGCACTGTGTTACCGGTACAGTGTTAACAAATTTATTATATGTGTTTCTCTAAACAAATTAACTTGCTATAATATAACAGATTCAGATATATATAAAAAAATTAAACAACATATTTTAAGCAACAAAAAACACGCATCTCTGTGCTTTGTGTTAGCGGTCCAGTTCCGTGTCGGCCTGGCTTCATTAGAATAAAGCATGTACATTTGTCAGTTCTCTGCTCCTGCCCTTGGTCATATGGTGCTACTGTGACCTTTAACCTTACGCTGGAGCCCTGTGCACATGGGTCCTCACACATTACACACATGGCCTCCTAATGCTCTCACAGACGTGCTGTTGTCACAATGAATATGACTAAGAGGCTAAGACCCCTTTCACTTATTTTCTGCTGTAGCACGAACTCCCGATCCTGTCCTGTCAGCTGCTGTTTTCACTGGTCAAATGGTCCCGGTGCATGTGTGATTTTTTGTGCTTTGTTTGTGGTTTGTTGCAGCTCATGTAATAATTTCTTAACCGCTCACTAATCAATTAACATAAGCCCTGACTAGATCCATTCTTTGATGTCACTCCCTCTCATCCTGTGACTTCTCTTGTAGAAAATAGCCTTGTTTTTTGTAGTTGATTTATGAATGCTGTTATACATAATAGGGCTTTATCTGTATGGGAACATGTTACATACACTTCCAGAGCTTATGTAAGTAGTTAGTTACTATATTTCAGTCATAGGTATAATCAGCTATTATTCCCAAAGACCAAGAAGGTGTGATCTTTTTTCAAAAATGAACGAAAAACTAAAGGAAACCGTATAGATGAAAAGTACAATATATTCACAAAGTAAAACTTGGAATTTATGTAGCTGCCTCGAGTTAAACATTTAAAGTGGAAAAAAGTGGTACATACTTAGCTATAGGGTTACTTGTCCCTTCTAAGAAAGCAAAAAATATTTTGACAAAGTAATTGCTCATAAGTTATCAAATTCCTTAGCCCCAAACCAGCAGAACTGTGTACCAGTAGAAGCATGTCTGTAATGGCTGTCTGCTTGGCTAAACAGGCTGTAGTTAGTGTCTGCCCAGAGTCTGGTGTAATGTGGGTCTGTGTGTGCGGCCTCGTTAGGACGGAGAGGCGCTGGAGGCAGGAACCAAAAAGTTTGAGGACCTGGAGTTTCAGCAGCTGGAGCGTGAGAGCAGCCTGGAGGAGGAGAGAGAGACCATGAGCCAGCAGCTACAGCAGGAGAGGAGCGAGTACCAGGCCAGTGTGGCCAAGAGGAAGGTGGGAACAACTCATTCACTGAACTGTTTCATGTTTAACAATCAGGCTTTGTGTCGAGCTGAATCAGCTACAGGCAAATCTGTTTATAAATGGTATATTTATATCATAGTTTTATTTCAAAGATAAGTGAAATTTAATAGTAGTTCTTAGAGGCATCATAAAGTTTGGTTCACCACCATTCGCACATTATATATGTGTGTGTGTGTGTGTGTGTGTGTGTGTGTGTGTGTGTGTGTGTGTGTGTGTGTGTGTGTGTGTGTGTGTGTGTGTGTGTGTGTGTGTGTGTGTGTGTGTGTGTGTGTGTGTGTGTGTGTGTGTGTGTGTGTGTGTGTGTGTGTGTGTGCGTGCGTGTGTGTGTATAAAACTTGCAGTTTTACATAACATAATTTACATCATATTTTTGTTCTTTTTTTAGGAAAAAGTTTCTGCTCTGGAAAACCAGGCCAGTCAGCTGGGCTTGCAGGCCTCTCAGGAGTGTGAACGACTGGCTAAAGACCGGACCCTGACTCTGCAGATGCTTCAGAAGGTACAAAGCTTCTCAACTCAACCTCAAACTGAGAGGACACTATGTTTCTTTTTTCCATTCAACTTTTAACATATCAGACAGGAGCACATACCTTTAGCATTACTATTTCCTGGGCTTATTCAGTGCATTTCTAATGGAGATGTGTCCATTTCAGGAAAAGGACAGACTGTCTGCTCTGGAAAAGCGGTACCACAGCCTGACTGGAGGAAAGAGTTTTCCAAAGTCCTCCTCTGCAATGAGAGAGGTAACACGCCTCAGGGCTAAAACGGATTAAACAAAACTTAACATGACTGACAACTGATTGCTCTTTTAGGATCTTTAACCAACTGTATGACTCATTAAAACTTACCAATATTTTAATAAGAGTAATGCGTGAATGTAACACAGTAGGTTGGTAGGTTTATCACCTGTTACAGCACAGATAAAGGGCTTGAGATGACGTGATTGAAGTCCTTGTTTACAGCAGGGGGCACTGTACATGAGCGATGCTGTCTTGTTGGAGGATGTGCGCTCCAGTCGGCCCTCTCTCTCTCGGGCCTCGCGCTCCTACTCTCTCCCTTTCCCTCTGTGTCAGCTGTACCCGAGCAGCCCCACAGAGGTAAAACTGAGCTGCATGAAGCACACACCTGTCTGTCCCAGTCGCTGTCCTGTGGCTGTGATCGCACATGTGGTCCTATGCTAAATGTCAAGTCGCTTTTTTGCTTATTCAAGTGCTTATTCAAGTGCTTATTCAATATTAAAGTGCAGACATTTGGTGTGAGTCGCAGCTTCAGTAAAAATATGTCTCTCAATGGGCTTTGTAGTGTTCAGTGGTGTACACACAAGCATGTATCAGCAAGCCTACACACCATCCGGTATGTTTTTGCAATTCAAACTTTTATGTTTGTCTTGTCTTAAATATATTAATGTCTTTTGATAAATTTGAGGAATATGGTAGAACTTTATATTATTGATTCTCAGAACAAAATTTCAAATTCACTGCAGCGTATCCACTGATTTAGACACCCAGTGGATTGAAGTTCATAATTTGCATCCAATATGTATGCATCTAGAGCTTCACAAATTTGGAAAAAAAAAGTAATTGTAATAAGTATTGTAATGCTAAACTAATTACATTTTTACATTGATTACTGAAAAGAAAGGCAGCAGATAACACCATTTCACATTTTGTAAAAGCCAATAAATGGAATTGGCAATTTGTTCTATTACTAGATACTGTAAGTGTACCTACTCTCTGATTTTTGATTCTGTTGTGAAATATGGCAGCCATATAGCCATCTCAACATTAAGCTTGTGTAGGCAGACCATTATATTAAATTCATAATAGACTAATCCAAATTAATCATTGTGTATTAAGAGTAACAAAATGCATGGACTATAACAATTACAACGTCCTGACCCAGATTTGCTCAACACTACATCACTGATCACTGGTTCTTATTTGGTGCCTTGTGTGTGTCTACCACTAGCTTTGTTTGCACTCGGCTTTTTTGTGTTGTTGCTTTCTTGGTTTCACAGTTTGGCCTTGTGGCATTTGTGTGTGGATTGAATGGTGTTGCAGTAGTGTTATCTGACCATACAAACTCTGGTGGTGCTCAGGAGTACATGAAGCTGTCCGATGTGTATAAGATGTACAGCAGCGACAGCGGGCGGCCCCACAGTCAAACTTTTGCCATAGACACTGCGTTAGCTGTTCCCTGCGAGGTACAATCACTTCCTGTCTTCCTTGACTGTATCTCTGTGTGTCGTCCCAAATGTCTTTCTTTTCTTTCTCCACTCCTTGATTCCTCACTTGTAAATCCTGCCCACTGAGAAGAGAAGCACAGTCACTATAGCAAGTAGCAATTTTTAAAGGAGCAATGGGTAACTTTTCAGGTGAAGGGTCTGTCACCTGCTTGTATTATGGAGATGTTTTTGCTTTGCCCAGAATGTTTGACTGTAAATCATTGCTGATGAATACCTTGAAAATTATACTTTTTATACTTTTTGTGGGATAGCCTCTCCTCAGGCCCGGTGGTATCACGTACTTCTTTGGTTTTATGCCATACTGTGGAACATCTTGGTAAAGACAAGCAGGAGGCAGACGCATCATCAGAAAAGTTACACAATAAACCTTTAACATATTATTATATCTTTTCAATGGTGAAAAGTCCTCAGTAAAGTTTTGACCCGTTTTATTGAAACTGGCATAAAGGCATAAAGTTTTCTCTCTCTCCACAAATAACAAAATAAAAAAATAAAAAATCATTAGAGGATCCAAAAGTGTGGCATTACACACATGTGACAAATGAGTGATGTGTGATATTGTTACTTGAAAGGACTAAGACACAAGTTGCAGGTTTGTGGACCCATTATGTATATTAATGGAATTTCTGTTCTTTTGAAAACTTCCTATTGAGTTAAACGAGGCCATTGCACTTAAATTATAACTCCAAAATGTCCTGAACGCGACCTACTGGCGCTCTCCTCTCAGTAGACGTGATTGACAGCTGAGAACTTGAGGCGTGGAGGAGGCAAGGAAATATTATTAGGACAGGGCCAGTGTGTCCCCTCTGATCTTTTTTTTCTACAGCCAATGTTGCTCCCTCTGCTGGCCTGGTCTCTGAACTGTGGACTTTATTTTAATTCACAAGTTTGAATTCTAGACAGCTATATTGAACACCAAATGTAATTAATATGAGAAAATCTATAACTGTGTATGAGATGCATTGCTCAAAACGTTCAGTGTAACTTGCAAAATATATTTATTGCTTGCATAAGAATTACATCTACAAGAAAAGTGTGGAACGTGCAAAGAAATCCTTATTACATCATCTATTTAATGTCATAAGCCAATCAAATACGTTTAAGGTTGCTCCAAAATGCTTTCTATTTCACTTCAACTGTTCTCATTTTCAGTGAAATTGAGCTGAAAATGTTTAATAGCCATGTTGTGACTGGAAGCTTACTCTCATCTGTCTGTTTTTAAAATCCAGACAGATGAAGTTAAGTGCTGCACAGATGTTGTTTTTGCTTGAGTTTCCGTGACGCTGCATGTTTTTCCTTCAAAGCCTTGGTGTGTTGTTGCCATGTTTGCCCTCCTGCTGCCTCCCTCGCTCATTTGCCTCCCTCTCTTCCCCCTCTCTCTCCTCTCTTGTCCCCGCTGAAGGAGTATGTGACAGTGGGACAGTTAAATCAGATGTATGGAATGCCCAAAGTGGAGTCGTCTCCTACCTCTCCGCTTCGTCAACCTCAGGCCCTGCAGTCTGGAACAGTAGACCCCGCCTACCCATGCCTCCCCCCTCACCATGGCTCCTCCCTCTCTCTCTCTGTTGAGGTGTGTGCCTGTCTCCTGCTGGTGATGTTGGCCTCCTAATCTATAAATTTTGATGTTCTAACTGCTGTAAATTGTTCCTTTCCTCACTAATTTCTCTGACTTTCTTTTAGCACATATTCAATCTACACAACATGCATTTCAAACTTTTCACTAGCTTATATGCTGTTGCTTGACAAAATACAGACACTATTTAACCACTTACCACTTAAGTGGTTAAAGGTCCAATATAGATATACACAAAATTTACTCTTGTGAGCTTTATTATAACATAGATCAGAATAGCATAATATGGGCCCTTTAATTATACTTCACAATACATCCAAAACTAAAATTCAGTACACCACAAAATTGGATTATGTAGTCATCATAAATGCTTTGTAGATTTCTCTGCCTCTGAATGTAATATAATTTAATGGTACAGACTTACTACAGTGGCCCTATTGTGGGTGCAGTTGGAAACAACCTTCTATACATGTTTTAGTGCTGATAAGCCTTTAGTATGCAAAAAAGCAGTGGTCTGATGAAGTTGAATAGACTAAGACTAACAAAATGTAAAATAGAGAGGATTGCTCAAGGGTATCAAGAAAATGCAGCTGACAACCGTAATATGGTGCACATATTTTAGCAAATCATTTTCACTAAAACGTTAATTTTAGCTTACCATGCTTCAGAAATATTCACCTTAAATACAAGCTCTCTGAATGCTTTCTAATCTATCTTTTCCGTTTCTGCCTGTCCTTCTTCATTTCCTCTTCATGGTGCAGTACCCATCTGAGTCCTCTAGGCCGCGCCTTCCTAAGGTAGATTTAGAGCAGTGGTACAGGGAGCTGATGGCGGGCTCTGGTCAGCTCGGGCCCCCTCCTCTTCCAGCCAAGTCTCTGCCTAATCGCAGAGCGGCGCTACAGGTACTGGCTCCTCTTCTCTTCTCCTCAATCTTTCAACACGCACTGGCAACCCTTCACTTTGTGTGTTTGTGTGTGTGTTTGTAACCAAGTGGTATGTCTATGTGGAAGAATCATAGTATAGAAATGATAAGTAAGTGGATAAGATATGTTGTTGGGATGACTCCTCGTTGTGGCTATAATGTGCACAAACCACTTAACAGTGGTAATATGTATGAAGAATTGTTTTGGTATTAAAATAAAGCTGGGTTTGTTGCCTTCAGCAGAGAGTCATCAGAACCAACTGTCGTCAGTTGAAATAAGTGCATGTCTACCACTTTGAAGTAGTGACTTTGAAGCTTACAGTACTTAAAAAAAGACAGAATTAAGTCTGATCAAAGAGCTCTTTAATGAAAAGGCCTTGTGTGTGTCTACATCATCTTTGATATTTTTATTCACAAAGTGAAATTAACAGTGGATTGAAGCTCCATTTATGTAAGCGTTTGACTGCGTAATACTAAATGTGCTTCAACAGGTTTCTCTGCAGGTTGCAGCTGTAACAGATGTGAAGTCTGGCATCATTCCCTCGTCTTCACTGAAGCAGGATGGTGGCAACATGTTTATTCTTTTGTTCATCTGTTCTTCAGGTGTTTCGCTCAAAGTTGGACAGTGACCCGGGACAGCCCCTCCTCACCTCCAGGTCTGGATCAGCCTCTCCCCTGCTCCACGGTGCGGCCACACTGGGGCGAAACACAAGCTCAAAGGTACAGCCATGACCACACTCTCTTAAATACAGGATAATCTACAATCACAGAGACAGATGTTATGGTACTAACTGTGTCTCTGGCTTTGACCCTGCAGAGCCCCCTGCTGGCTGCCAACAGCACTGGCAGTTTGCCCAGGAACCTGGCAGCGACTCTTCAGGACATCGAGACCAAGAGACAGCTGGCCCTACAGCAGAAAGGTAACTCACCTGCTTTTGAAATGTCCTTTGCTGTAACTCCAACATTTCAGTGAATTAAATTTGTATTATCCACACGGAGGATGAATCTTCTCTGAGAACTTCTCCTAATTGTTTTTGTAGAGAAGATCATTGTGTGTAGGCTGTAAAGGTGCATTGTGTAACTTTTCTGGCAGAGGGCCTGTCAAATGCTTTTATCCATGGAGATGTTATTCCTTGATGGTATTAATTGATTCCAATATGGTATTAAACCTTTCTATCTTGGCCACACCAAGTTACATATCAGATCTGTGGAGGGACAACACCACTGTTTTCCTATGTATTTCTGAGCTATAAAACTACCTGCAATTGATTAGATGAAAGGTAAAACTGTTTAATATTATACTGTGGAATATTCTAGGCAGAGCAATGACATATCCATAGAAACAAGCAAGTAATGGACCCCAAACAAAAAGTTACATAGTGAACCTTTAAAGTGCATTTTTTTGCATATATTTGTCCAAAGTTTCTGTAGTTTCTGTAATGTAAGTGTGGTTTGAATATATAAGTTGTGTATGGAGTTACAGCACTACACAGAGACATGGAGCTTCACTAAAGGGATAAGACTGAATGTGTGATGGTGTCTGTTCTCACCCACGGGTGCTGGGTCGCCCATATGTGTGTGTGGTGTTTAGGCTTTGCTCACTTCTGTCTCTGTGTTTCCTGCATCGGTGCCCACAGAGCCCCTGAGCGGCAGACAGAGCGTCGGTGAGGGGAGAGTGGCAGGTAGACAGATACAGGGACATCTGCTCATTCACTTTTTTCTACACTGCATCATCCATCTAACCACTGGGAAATATCTGACTAGGCCTGTCACAGATAACACATTTTGATGCACGGTATAAGATGATAAAAGATAATACTGAAACTACTTCATGCTACTGATATATTAACAGTAATACAAGATAATCCTTGTCAGCCATTTTAAATGGTTTTGTATCATTAAAAGCCATGAGCTCCAACAAATAAATACCTGAACAAACCAATAATTTGCTACAGAAGTCACTTACTTAACCTTTCACAGCGCAAATGTTATTGCATTACAACTAAAAATACCCAAACCTCACCATTTTTACAAATAAACTGTACATACAATAAATATTGAGCCCCAATATATATTGTTCCAGTGGTCATATATTGAAGGATAAGTCAATATTGACATTATCGTGACAGGCCTACATCTGACACTAACTTCTACTCATTGTCTCATTGTCTTACATTAAAATGATCGCTCGTCTTCCAACTCTGCTCTTTTGAGACTACATGTATTTTTAAGGGTGCACTGTTAAGGGTCCTTTGCCTGCTTGTCTCCATAGAGATGTTATTACTTTGCTTGAAATATTTCATAGCATTTTATAAGACTTATTTATCTTTTACTGATTCAGCAATAGATATGTTTTATGGCTAAAACATAACTTGAAAAAAACAGCACAGTTGCCTCTCCACAGATATGACCAGTAACTTTGTTTGTCTCCAGAGAGATAGATAAGTTTAATGCAATAGTGCAGAGCATCACAGGAAATGCTATGACATCTCCCCGTGGGCAAGCAGGTGGTGAATCCTCCATCAAAAAAGTTTCATACTGCACCTTTAAAGATATAATGATAAAACATATATCATTCCTTTAAACTATATAGCCTTTTCGCACTTCTAAGAACATGAAAAAGCCAATAAGACATCTTCAACACAGCCAAAAGACGAAAGACTGAACTTAGAAAGAAACTCCAGCCCAATTTGAAATTTAAGCCCTACTCAAAGCTTACCTGTATTGATTCTCCATCAAAGCTAACGTTTACCAGTACTTGACACAAGGCTAGTGTATTCTCAAACTTCATAACCCGACTCTCTGTGCCTCCTCTTCTCTGGCGTGTCATTAACTCCTCTCTCCAATAAAACCCTTTTCATCTTTCTTTTGTCTGGAGCATCGAACGCGCTCTTTCTCTGCTCCATCAATCTTCTATGAACAGTCTGGCTGCACAGGGATAAATCTTGCATGTGTGAAGCCGTGAGTGCGCTCCTCCTTAGCAGTTATTGATCTTGGCTTGGTCCTCAGTGCAGAGTGGAGGTGGTGAAATTTCAGTACAAATGTTAAACTTTCTGTATTTTAAAGGAGCACATATGTCTTGTTATGTACGGTGCATGGACGGTGGTTTGGGGTTTTTGGTGGTGGTGATGATTATTTTGTGTGGGATGCTGCAGTTGCAGAACGCATGGCAGTTTAATCTGGTTTAATCCTTTTTCGGTGAATGTAAGATGCTTTGTCATGTTCCCTCTGGTGGACCTGTGTTGGGGGAGTGGAGACAAATATTTATATTTTTTATATACAGTATTTGCTTTCAACTTTTTTCTCTCTTGTGCACATGCACTGTCCATTGGTTACATTCAAGAGATCTTAAAACGTTTAAATAGTCAAAAGTCCATAAAATGGTGCTCATATGAATCATGTGACCAAAACTCTGCATTCATTTTTGCCACAAGGATTCATTGTGATGTTGTGTTGACAATATTTACTCTATGCCAATATTTGTAGCCTTTAAGGTTGTAAATGCTGTAGTAATGCAAACTAATGATTAGTAATTAATATATATATATTTTTTATCTTTTTTTTTATCTTACTTGATCTCTACAAACAAATTTTAAGGCACGTGGTCCACTGGAGGAGCAGGACTCATTATGCCCTTAGATACAGTATATTCACATGTTGACAAACTCATTCATTCGCCCGCTTCTCCAGGTCAGCAGGTGATTGAGGAGCAGCGGCGGCGTCTAGCTGAGCTGAAGCAGCGCGCTGCAGCAGAGGCCCAGTGCCAGTGGGAGGCGCTACACGGGTCCCAACCTCAGCTCCTCAGCCCCTCCCCCTCCTCCCCCTCCTGCTCACCCCTGCAGTCCTATGGCGTTCACCACTCCATCCTGCACCACCAGCCCGCCGCCCGAGAACAGCCCTATGATACACTCAGTCTGGAGAGCTCAGATAGTATGGATACCAGCATCTCCACGGGCAACAACTCAGCCTGCTCACCTGACAATGTGTCCAGGTAAAGATATACCGTGCATTTAAGTAGAGGTTTAAAGCACAGCAATTAAGCATTTTATCTTGATGAGTTATTATTACAGATGCATCGATCCAGCTTTTTCTTTTCCGATACCGATGTTGATACTATAGCTTTAAGCGGCTGTCGATACCCGATATCAACCGATATCAGTGCAGAGAGTACCTGATCATATTGTTCTGGCTGATCTGTCATATTTAACACAGGATAACCCTCTGCTGTCCAGGGCGCGTCCTTGTGCCAACATCAGCTCGTTTAGTGCCATCTGCTCGTGTGGCATCGCTGTGTGGCGTTAAACTGACAGTGTGTGGGCTGCAGCAGATTTCACTCATAACTGCTTTTCACAGCTCCCTCAGGATCCATTGTACAACTATTAGTAGTAATTTTTAAATGTGGCACTGAGTTAACTGACAGCTACCATGGGAGGAAAGCAAAATGACTAAGTGTCTGTTTTTAAAGTTTAAATGGTGGCACAGTTAGTAATAAATCTGTGAGTAAGTAGTTTTTGGGACATTACTCTACCGCCTACATAGTTTTAATGGCTAAGAAACTGGGCACATGGACAGCTGTCGAAATGTCAACAATGTAATGACTAACAGCTAAAGTAAAGTGGACAGGGTTATTCAAAGCTTTCCCTCTGAATAAATAAGATTGTCATTCGGCCCATTACAAATAACACATTATGCGGCATCCATCGTCACCACGGTTACTCTTGTTGATTTTTGCTTGTACCAGCACTTTAGTTTCTACCACAAAATGCCCAAACTTTTAACATATCTTATATTTTACTGTTTATTTTAGTTTACTTTACTTTTTAGGTTACCAAATACACCTTTTCCATCTCAAAGTTTCAGTCACCTGCTTGTCTCCATAAAGATGTTATCGCTTTGCCTGGAATGTTCCACTGTATGGTATTAACATAGAAGATGTTAATATAAGATGATGAAAAGTATCATCTGCTTGTCTCCATAGGAGCATGGCATTAAACTTCATCATCTATCTAAACAAAGTAACCCTAATATCTCCGTGGAGCCAAGCAGAAAAGTTACATAGTGAATGGTTTGAAATAATTACTATTCATTGTGTTTTTGAAAGTATTATAGTGACTTTTCACATTTTAAACAAGAGAAATAGACTTTGTCAAATCATAATTTCTTTGTTTTTATCTACAGTGTTGGAGGATTGGATGCCCTAAAGATTGAGGAGATGGAGAAGATGCTGAAGGAAGCTCAACTTGAAAAAGCCAGACTTATTGAATCTCGAGTGAGTTATAATTCAAAGGGACATCACACTCTGTTCAAATAAATCTATACAAAAAGATAAATGACTCCACTGCAAGTCCGCTGTTTACAATATGCAACGAGCAGGTCAATACAGCGATTCATTTTGATGACAGCAGGAGAAAGTTAACACTGAATATCTCCTGTATTCATCATTTCTATGGCAAATTTAAAGGGTCCATACTACACTGTTTCCTATCTATGTAATAATGTTGGTTACTCTCCAAAAACATACCTGGAGTTATGTTTTGTTTTATTCACAAATTAATACACAAACCCTGCATATTTACATAGACTGAGTTCTTCTCTCAAACAGAAAACTCACTGTTCCATCTTGTGATCTCATGTGGTAATACAGGAAGTGCTCCACTGTGTTTTTAAACTCGATACACTTTCACTGGAATCATTTGGATAATTTCAGCTCTGGAACTGAAAATCACTACTGAATTAAAGATAAACGGTTGCTATTAACTTAACTACCACCATAACATCACAATGTGGAATAGAGCTAAATGCTCTATTCCTTGTGAATAAATACATTTTTAATCATTGCCATTTGACACAAATATAATCACACTTTTTCCTTTAAAGTCTGCTCCAAAATATCTGCTTTTAATGACCAAGGATTGGCTGTAGACTTCTTGGTTAAATTGACCCTATTTTATAATTGACGGTTGAAATTTAATTAATTGCACAGTCCTAAATTTTTCTATTCAGTTTTTAATCACTGTGAACTTATAAAATTACTTAGATATTATTTTTATCAAAGCCCCAGAGTTTGTAATGTAAGGTCATTGTGTTTAGGAGCGGGAATACCTTGCTCGGAGACAGATGCTGGAAGAGGAGAGGAGGAGGAGAGAGGAGGCAGAGAAAAGACTCCAGGATGAAACACTCCATCGAGAACAGCTCATCGAGAAGGAGGTCAAAATGAGGTCCAAGAACTTCGCTCAGGTCAGGAAAAGTATCTAGTAACTCTCCAAACTCAGTACTGGCTTTATCCATTCTTTGCAATTTACATACACACTGCATAAAACTAAATGCATTGCAACAAAATGCATCTTCTGCATCTTCTGCATCTTCATCTGACAGCAAAAATGTTCCTGTCCCAACATTAAAAGTGCACCACGGAATTTTTCTGCTCAAGAGTTTGTTACTTGCTTGACTCCAGTACAGAGAGATGGTATTTACTTGCCTGAAATGTTATGCTGTATCTATCTTCATGGAGACGGATACAGATCAAGCTAGAAGTCGGGTCTGTGGACATGGAGTGCATGTTTTTCTAAGTATTTGAAGGTATATTTAATGCCATACTAGTGAACATTTCAGGCAAAGCAATAACATCTACACTGGTTTCTGCTTTAAATTAGATCTACTCCCTCAAATTGTATCAAAATCAATCAATTTTCCACTTAGTTTTAAAGTATATGATTTTATTTGTGACCAGGCCCGCCCAATGACCCGTTACTTACCGATCCGAAAAGAGGAGTTTGACCTGCGCTCTCACGTGGACTCGTCCGGGCACAACGTCGAAACCTGTTTCCATGTCATCGTCACGGAGAAGATGTGCAAAGGGTACCTGGTCAAAATGGGTGGAAAGATCAAGTCCTGGAAGAAACGCTGGTTCGTCTTTGATCGCCTTAAACGGACTTTCTCCTACTATGTTGGTAAGCACATTACTTGATACAGTGATACATGTATGTGTTTTAATGGCAGTTTTCGTGTTAAAGTTAGCTACATTTTACCTTTAGTTCAGCAGACAGAGGCATTTCCAGGGCAGAAATCATCCAAATGATTCTAGTGAAGGTGTATGGAGTTTAAAAACACAGTGGAACACGTCCTGTATTACCACATGACATCACATGGTGGAACAGAGTGTCTTCTCTGTTTGAGAGAAGAACTGAAAGGTCCCACTTCTCCATAGTTGCATTTCACCTTAACAAACAGCTGATTTTCATGTGTTTGTGGTCGTGTGACTTTTTGGACCCTACATGGTGTCTGAATTTTTTCAATAATCACAAGTAAATACAGAGCAGAGGTCAGAGATGGGGTGGGGGTGGTGGGTATGTGAATTATTTTACAGGATTATTTTCCAGGATTACTCAAAGGTGCATAAAATCGGGTTACTTCTTAGATGACAGAAAAGGAACTCTATTTAAAAAAATTGACGTGCATAAATAACACATCATACCACCCCATAAATAACTTATATAAATGCTGGTAAACTCTGTAGCGTCCTTGTGTATTTGCTGTAAAACGCTGAACGTGTTAATATTTGAGTTGAAAGTGTCTGAGTGGTGAGTTGAACATGCGTCCTCCAGACCTTGAACGCCTCATGTGTGGAGCGTGCACTGGTGTAATTTGATGTTGCACACGGAGCTCTGGGACACTGGCTGTCAGCCCTTTGAAGTCCTCACAAGGTTCCGCTTAAAGCTGCTTAAAGCGTACCTTGTTGAAAGCGGGCCAGGGCAGAGGAGGTGTTCTGAGATTTCTTTGGTGCTAGTTGAAATGCTCTCCGCAGCCCGTTCTCCCAGGAGCGGGGTGAGATGCGCCGTGTGCCCTTGTCTCTTGACCTTGAGTTAAGTCTAACGCGAGGTGACAACCAGAGTCAGGAGCACTGCTAGGCCTGTCATGATAATTACTATATCAACTTATTGTTCAATACATGAAAGCTGGAAGAATATATTTTTGGAGTAAATATTTATCGTGGGTACTTTTTTTATACTTTTTTAAAAAAAAATTTATTTTTAACTTTCTAAATCTATAATATTGTAAAAAAAAAAAAAAACTGAGCTGCAATAAATAAATAGCAGAATGCAGTGATAGTTTGTAACACTAATGAGTCATAGTCAAGTTATTAATTCAGAATACAGAATACATAAAAAAAAAGTTCCGCATTAGTACAAAGAAGAGGTACCCATGATAAATAATGACCCCAGAAATGATTGGTCCATCGATTATTTATTGATGGATAAGTCAACATAGTAATCAGATTCAATATTGTTTATCGTCTACATTTTCTTAAAGTTGCATTGTGTAACTTTTCTGGTGGAGAGTTCATCAAATACGCTGGAATGTTTCACGGTATGGTATTTAACCTTTCAATCTTCATGTTGACAAAACCAGACCAAGTCAAGTTACAGGTTAGATCTGTGGAGAGGTGACCCCACTCACAGTTAGAATGCCTCTTTTTCTAGGTGTTTTTGAGCTGTAAAACCACCTGCAATTGAATAAATGTAAGGTAGAGCTGTTTCATGCCATACTATGGAACATTCCAGGCAGAGCAATGACATCTCCATAGAAACAAGCAGGTGACAGACCCCCAACCAAAAAGTTACATAATGCACCTTTAAGCAATATCACCTTGAAATGTGTTATGGTGACAGGCATAAGCACTGCTAATCCGCGCTAATCAAGACACAACTTCAGCCTCACTTTGGCTCATTTACTCGCGCTCAAATGAGATGCAAACACAGGGTTGTTTGAATGCTAAACAGGTCATTAGCGGATAATAGTGGTGCATTTAAAGGAAACTATTATTCCTCGAAATGAAGTGGTGCCGCGTCTCTACCTACTGCTCTTAAGTTGGCTTGTGCAGTGTTTGTGCCTGGAGGTAGAGAGGGGCGTTGAGTTCCCCACCGGTTCCTCACTGCGCTTCTGCAGAGGCTGATGAAACAAACTGCAATCATTTACCACAGCGGCGTAAGAATGCAGTCAAGTCTGAAAATACAATGTGAGCCCCATTGGTTTTAAAAACAGACAAAAACTGCTGTGCTTGTCTTTTTCCATCCATCATCAGAAACTATAAATTGGTCAAGATCAAAGTTGGACCTGTGTTTTCCAATTAGCTGATCATTCAAACAGTGTGATGTTGATCTGACAGAGTTTGGCTTCTCACATTCAAACAATAATAACGTGTTTACGGGTGTCACAATATCAAATTTCTTTTTTATGATTATATTAAAAATAATCAACACATTTTAACAATTATTCATGATTATTGACTCCGTGTGTAAAGAATAGTGATATCTTGGACTGCACAATATAAAAACTGCAATTTTAGTTGGTGCAATTATCATATCCAACTATATAACTTATAATTGCATATAACTGCAGTTATTTAGATAATAGAACACACTGCCAAGAACAAAATAACTTGTCTTTTTATAGAAAATCTTGTTTTACCTGTACTCTACAAACATGTTCTGAAATTCTTGGCATATTAGTTTACCAGTTCATATTTCTGCTTTCTCTCAAATGTTAATGCTCCGTGAGTTGCAATGTGCAGAATTCTACTTTTTAAACAAATCTAATTGCAATAATTGTCAGAAAAATCACAATTCGATTTTTTCCCCCTAAATTATGCAGTCCTAGTCCTTCACTTTTTTCTCATGATTGTTGTCTAATTTGTAAGATTCACTCAACTGTGCGATTAGCTATATGCAATCAAACTTTCAGAATTATAAAGTTAATGTGACATAAAAAGTCATAAAAAGCATTGTAGATTGAACTGAAATAACCTAATTTAGCTTGTCAGGCTCATAATTATTATTTGTTGGTTGTTACTCAAATAATGACAATGATCTGTTAACTGAATAATTAACACTGCCTTCTTGCATTGTGTTTTCCTACAGATAAACATGAGACCAAGCTGAAGGGCGTGATCTACTTCCAGGCCATTGAAGAGGTTTACTATGACCACCTGCGAAGTGCCACCAAGGTACGCCCCTGCCTGCCCCCTCCTCACCCCCTCCATACCCCCACCCACCTGCTTTGATTATTTTTATTTAAACGCTGCACATTTCTGTTTCTCTGCTTGTGCACTTTCATTGCTTTGGCTGGCCGCTGTCACAGAAAGGACCGTTCAACTTGAATCTCACCAGTGTATGTATATCCACAGTGGCTTTGTTTACATGGGCACCAAAAATTTGATCATTATCTGATTTCTGGAGATATCAGATTATTGAAATGTCGTGTAAACAGTTGTATCTGATGTGAGTTGAAGTGTTCGTTCACACTTGTGCAGGTTTTTACAAGGAAAACTAGGCAAAAAAAAGGTCAAACTAAAGACAAAAATTGAAGAGAAAGAGTTCCATATTATACTGCTTTCTGATCTATTTTAGAATGTTGTTTCCTCATCACAAACAAACTTGGAGTTATGTTTTGTTTCATTCACACATTTAACACACAAACCCTGCATATTTTGACTGAGTTCTTCTCAACAGAAAACACTTTGTTCCACCTTATGATGTCATGTGGTAGTACAGGATGTGCTTGATTGTGTTTTTAACTCCATACAGCTTCACTACATTTTTTTGGATAGTATCAGCCCTGGAATTGCCAATTTCTACTAAACAAAATGTAAAAGGTAACTGTTAACTTGAAAACTATGGCTTCATAACACCACTAGGTGGACCAGAGCATTTTGAGCTTTGGAGATGTAGACAGACTAAGAATTACTCAAACATGTGTGAATGAAACAAAACACAACTCCAAGTATGTTTTTGAGGAGGTTACAACATTCTAACATGGTTTAAAGCTCACAAGAGTCAATTTTGCGTAATATAGGACCTTAAAGAGTTACTTTTAAAACTGACTGTACTTTGTCTTCCAAATTTAACAGTTACTCTAAAAAAATCCATTGATTAACCTACACATGTCACCAGTTGTTTTAGTGATTTTTGTGTGTGCATGTAAACATACACCAAAAATCAGATCTAACTATTGTCTGATTATTCTCTTCTCTCATCATGACCATGTAATTGTACCCAGTGTTTGTAACATCCTCCTATAACCCCAGTATATCCTTGTTTAAAAAGACCAAAAATGAAAGACAAAAATTACAGAAAAGTCAACTTAGTCTTCCAAATACAACAGTTACTTTAAAAATCCACTGTTGATTGTGGTTGCAGTGTAAAATCCTCCTGGAACCCCAGTCTCTCCTTGTTTAAAAAGGGAAGGACGAGGCTTGTAAAGGAAATGTATTAAGTCCCTAAACCCTGCTCTAGTAGTGTGAGCTGATCCCCCCTGATCCCTCTGTCCGTCCCAGTGGTCTGTTTGAAGCTGCTACAGAAAATAATAGAACAAGTTTTAGTCTGTTTAAATCCAACAGAATTAACCGCTAATGCCCTTACAGTCAGTTTGAGTGCGAAAGTGATACACACTTAACTATCTTCTAATTATTCTCAGTGTATTCTACTGTACCCTATTTCTCAATTCAGTTTAAAGGGTCTATATTATGCTCTTTTCTGAACTTCTGTATGTTAAAATGTTGTTTACTCATCACAAACATACCTGGAGTTGTGTTTTGTTTCATTCACACATGTTTAACATACAAATCCTGCATATTTAGGCTGAATTCTCTCAAACAGAAAACACTCTGATGTCACTTGGTAATTAGGAAAGTTCTTCACTGTGCTTTAAACTTTATACACCTTCACCGGTATCATTTGGATGATTTCAGCAGTGGAATTGCCAGTCTCTACTGAACAAAAGGTAAACTGTAGCTGATAACTTTAAAGCTACCACTACATGACATCACAAGGTGGAGCAGAGCATTTTGAGCTTTGATGACATAGACAGAGTAATTATAAAGGGTTAGTCAAACATGTGAATTAAATAAAACACAACTTTTTTATTATAGCATATTTATTCTATGTTTTGGATGAAAAAAATGCCATAATGTTATGTACTTTAATTAATCGTTGCACCATTTTATCCATACCCTTTATAAAACTGCATACACGTCCTTTACTGTATTTCTTTCTTTATGATCTCTGCTGATCTTTGCCTTTGCAGCCTTGACTTAAAACTGACATTTTCACATCACAAAACCTCTCCGTAGCTCTGCGTGTGTGTAACTGACGGCCTGTCGCTGAGTTTTGACTCAACTGTGCGGCTCTGATCAACTCTGAACCTTTTGATTTTACTTGTCACTTCCAATGTCACAAAACAGAGGGGAAAGTTGGAGCACATTTAAAGAGATGTGTGAGGTTCAGAGGAGGAACAGGCTACACAGACCACAGGCACATTTGTGTAGATATAAAGAAACACTCAATACTACCGTGAGATTTAGCGGAGCAAAAAACATGAAAACTTTGATCAAATTAGCTAGCTAAAATGTATTTTTCTGAAGTATGTTGTGAATATTGACTTGTATATGGGCCCACTAATAACAGCTTTTGAAATGTGATATATTAGTCCATAAAATACTGCTATAAATATTTTTGCCAGTGATACAAAAAAGTTCAAATTATACAAATTAATTAATCAGTCCTACTGCTCATATGTATATTACAACTACATGTATAGTAGTAATTTTAAAAATAGAGAAACAGTTTCCCACAAAAAGCAAAATAGAACTATTATAATAACATAAAATATTTTTAACCAGTTAATATGACAGCACTAACACTGACTTCATGCTATAGTATTAATACTCATTTTTAGTAATTAATATTATAATTATCCAAAATCCATTGTCTTAGGGGTGAAGCCTTTTAGTGCCTTTCTTCATGTTTTTTCTGAGTGTCAAATGCATGACTTCTGCCACTGTTGTTCTGACTACATTGTTGTATCACGTGCATCACAATCTTCCTTATACTATAAACTGTACATTGTCATTAATAGTTTTCCTCTGTTTGTTTCTTAGAGCCCAAATCCTTCCTTGACCTTCTGTGTTAAGACCCACGACAGACTGTACTACATGGTGGCCCCTTCTGCCGAGGCGATGCGGATCTGGATGGACGTGATTGTAACCGGGGCAGAGGGCTACACACAATTCATGAACTAAGGAGTACATCTCTGCCAGATCTGTCCCATCTGACTCCACTTCCTGTTTCCTGTCCCACTGTGGACACATGCCTTCCTCAGCTCACTTTCAGTATCACAGGTTTTTGATTTTGATCTTTTTTTTTTAAACATTTTGTACGTGATTCTGTTTGGATCAAAAAGGGAGACATGCTCAACTCATGACTGTATATTAACCAAATGTAAAGACTATAAAAGCCTTTCTATATTGCCAAATGGAGATATTCTAGTTACTTTTTTGTATTATTTTATCTTTTTTACTTTTATTCATCGATTCAGCCAAAAGACTCAATGCCAATGTTTATTTTAAGTGCTCTATTGTCACCATTGCTTTTAGTTCATCAAAAGGATGTAATCGGGAAGGACAATTTAGACACAAACCCGTCTTTTACTAGTCTGTGAAGAGTCAATGCACCAAGCTAGTGTTCACTTTGTTTCTGACACTACATCACATGCAGTGTATCCAATGTATTTATTGTAAAAATGTTGCTCTATCCAGGTTCAAAAAATTCATGTATTACGATCATAGACTGTTTAAAGAAGTGGACCAAGCAAGTGTGACGTCACCCATAATGCTCGGCTCCAGTCAAATGAAGATCACCGAGGCAAGCAGTTATGGAACAAATTTGGAGTTCCAGATTTGAAACAGGAATTTATTTATAGACAAAATAATGAACGAAAAACACCGTGATAATGTAGAGTGGGTGAATACGATCATTTTAAGACCAAAATGATAAGCCTGCAGTTAGAGAGTGGTGACATTCAGTATAAATTGATTTGGAGCTGGAGTCAATGGAGCCGGAAGCACACCCATGGTCACTTCCTGGTCAGCTTTGTCCATTTGTATAAACAGTATATGGTTACAATTCACTACAGCTCAGGAGTTCACACTGCAGTTCTCCATGTGTTTCAACTATTATAAAAGTAGCTGCTAATTTTTAAATGCTAATTGATTCAAACATTTTGTTACTACAGTAGGCTATTGACAGCACATCATTTTATATTATTTTCGTGAATTTGTAGCTTTTATAATGGTTCATTCATATATCCAGTGTTTAAAATTTTATTTAAAGGTGCACTGTGCAAATTTTGATGGAGGGTCAGCCATCAGCTTGTCTCATGGAGATGTTTTTGCTTTGCCTGGGATGTTCCACAGGATGGCATAAAATAAATATTTATTGTAGGCTATCTATTCAGTTACAGTAAAAACATGTATTATTACTGTGAGCGGGCCCACCCCTCCACAGATCTGACCTGTAACTTGCCCTTGTGATGTGACCCGCATGTCTCCATACCATCTTGTAGAACATTCCAGGAAAAAAACTTTAACATCTACAGCTAGTCAAGCAGGTGATGGACCCACTACTAGAAAAGTTACACAGTGCCTTTAAAAGTCACTATCTCTGAATTAGGCTCATTTGCCAACTCAAGCTACATATCCATCGCTTCGCCACATGAGCAGTTTTGCCAAGTAGCCTTTCTTAGCTGACTTGACCATGCCCCTGGACAACAGATATCATCACTGCCACTAGAGGGCGCTACAATGTCCAACACAGGACCACAGGAGATACACTATACAGTGTAAGGACTAATGCAATTCAGAACTGTGCCTTGAAATTGTCCAGTGAATACACTACGGGGCCATTGCTTTTAATTGGTTGGCGAAGAGGTATTGAAAGGGTTTTGAACCAAACTATGTAGTTCGGTAGGGATGGGACAAGATTGTGCACACAGGCGGAAAATTATCTTGTGAGATTTAGGGATGCACCGATACAATACTGTTACTGGATATCGGCATAGATACTGAAAAATTTGCTGGATCAGATATCAGCTTCCAAATATTGGTTCAGTCAACCAGTTCAGGTTCAGTGGACATATAATTTTATGTAATAAGACTTTTTCCTGGTTTTAGTTGGCCCAGAAAAGAACTGATTGTACAGATAGAAATTAAAACACTAAGTTGTTCTGTGGTTACGTGGAAGGTAAATATCAGTTACATAACACAATAGGACCAGTTTTGTTTCATTTTATATTAAGGAAATAAGGGGTGAAATCTGGTGAGTTAACATTTTAAAAGGCCATAGTTCCTAAAAGCAGAGCTAGAATGACAGCAAAGATAAATTAAAAAAATGGTAAGGGCCTGGATTTTGTGGACCCAATCTCATGTCTCGTCCCATCCCTATAGTTCGATTTAAAATAAATATGTTTTATAAATCTGATTCTATGTTGAGACATAAGAGCATGAACAGGGAATAGACAAACAACTGAAAAACTTAAATATTCTTCATTGTTGATAGTTAAAAGACCCATTGATTTGGAAGACATTACGCTGTGATTTTTGGCGCATGTGAAACTGTTGTTTAGTTTCATGTGTTATAAAGTAATTTATGGTTGTCGTGCCTGAGATAGTGACTAAAGAGACTAGTGAAGAGATCTTAATATATATTGCATCTCCCTTGCCTCTATTTTGAATGCACCAGTATCAAAATGTGTGCAAACCAAACTATGAACACTGGCAAGGCTGTCTGTGCGTATGTAGTGCTATTGTTATCTATGTGAAAAGAGGAATAATAATATACTGTAAAGCGGATGCCTGAATGAATATCTTACTATAAAAATGAAATGATACTGTAAAAAAAAGTACAATTTTTACTTATTTTTGTCATTTTAGAAAATTTATTGTCACGTTACATTTCAAATTGTAAATGGTAGTGATGTATCTACTTTTTTTTACCGGTACAGCAGAAGACGCACAGAGACTCACCTAGCACTCAGTACAATGGATGTTTGCTGGACATTACTGTAGAAGCTGTATTTTACAATTCGGACCATACTGTGTTAGGTACCTTGTATTTGTCGAGCGTCACTTTCACACAAAGAAAAACTGATTTGATGAAATCTATTAAAACTGTTACTGAAATACAGCTGTGTTTTCTTTTTCTTTTAACAGGTTAAAAATATATGATGTTGAGGTGTTGAAGTGTCAATGTTGAAGGAGCAGGTTTAACTTGACAAAAATGTGTTTAGATCAATCAAGACACAAAAATATACTACAAAAACATTAAAAGTGAGGGCAAATATAAAAAAAGACATCTTTCAAATTAAAAATGACAAAGTAAAACACATTTGAGATGAGATGTTGTTGACAGTGATTATCCCAGTTTGTGGAATGTGAAGATTTTTCCTTGCACATTACAATTCATTCACACTGTCACCTGAAGGGACAAAAAAAAGAATATCAAAAACATGTTAAGGTACACTACAAAACATTTCTAGTGGAGAGTCTGCCACTTGCTTGTCTCTATGGAGATAAGATAAGCAGGTGGCAGACCATCAAACAGAAAAGTTACAGAGGGCACCTTTAAGAAAATCTTGGCCATATTTAACCCTCTTAAATTTATTCATTCAAGTTTCCATAGACTAAAGGAACTTTTTTATGAGATTTCAATGTACTCAGGTCAGTAACTACAGATGCAACTGAAAGCTGAATGAATGAAGAACATTTTAAGACCACCTACTTTCTGCACAAGGGGACGTGTATTCAGTGACTGCTTCATCACCTAAAAAAATAAAGCAAAAATAACTGTAAACATTGTTCAGTTCTGTTAACATTTTACTAAGTGAATATTCGTACTCGTCTGGTAGTAATCATAGACTTTAACCACTGCAGGTTTGAGGTTCCTCACAGCCTGATCCTGCTCAATTGTCACACTGTAAATCCGCATCTTGTCCTGTCTCAGCTGCAAATACAAGAATACAGAATGATATCCATAGGTTTCAGAATGAGAGAAAAGTCCTCAAAATCTTATATATACCAGGAAGCTGAAATTAGGCATGTCACAATCACTACTATATTGATTTATTGTTCAGTAGACAATAGCTGGAACAATATATTTTGGGGCTCAATATTTATCATGGGTACTTTTTCTTAGCAAAACTGGGGAGATTTGTGTTATTTTAGTTGCAGTAGGATAAGATTTGAGCTGTAGAGGATTGAATAAATCACTCTTATAGCTAATTACTGGTTCATTTTGCCATTTAAATTGGTTTACTGGGATTATCTTGTTTTACTTTAATCTTAATCAGTAGCATAAAGTAGTTTCAGTATTATCGTTTCTCTGTAACAATATATCGAGATTCAGAATGTATTAACCTGACAGGCCTAGCTGAAACCCACTCTTATCATTTACAGAGTGTTAAACAAACTACTTGGAGAGAACTTCTGGTGGAGAGCCTGTCAGCTGCTTGTCTCCATGGAAACGTTATTGTTTTGCAGAGAATGTTCCACAGTATGGCATTTGACTTATTTCCATGGAAGCAAGCAGGTTAAACCATCAGGCCTACTAAAAAGTTACAAAGTGTATCTTTAGGCATGATTTGAATGGGTAATATTTGCTATACAAATGTTTTTTTTTATTTTATCAAATGCTCAAAGGGTTTGCCAATTCAAAATGTACCAGGTCTTTAAATCATCATTCTTACCCCGTCTAAATAAATGTTAATGAATCCATTGTCTACATCCACTCGCTTCACGGACTGGTCACCCTTCATCTGTCAATATATAAAAACACAGCAAAACTTTAGGGGACAGGACTTATTAGTTAGTGATTATACTCTTCAGTATAGGGCCCACTCTCAAATACAAAGTTGGTGCTTCAGTTTTTTTCAACTTTGTATAAAAACATAGGTTAACGTAGGAGTGTAGCCCTTTGTTTAACAAAAAAATTATGAAAGAAAAGTTGTAATAACTGGCACATCACTGTAGTAATCTTCTCACCATGTCCAGAGAGCTCTTGTCCAGGACATATCCAGACAAAAGTTTGATGTTAATAATGACCATGTTGGTTTCCTCCCTGCGGCCCTGATATCTGAAAACACAAAACAGCAACAAGTCCTGGGACAAATTTTTGACTTACAACTACATAGAGGCTTGCATAGTATTAGCAAAAGGATATTGAGTTGAATTATAAAAGAAAGAACACACCTGACATGCACAAAGAGGATGAGCTGTGGTCTGCTGACATTACATTTGGACATAGTGGAGGTGGAAATGTTGAATGCAGAGAAGTCCGGGGGAGGAGGGATGTTGTAGTGCATAGAAATCTGTAGATATAACATTAGTTTAACAATGTATTTTTTTTAATATCAGGCTATAACTCTATAACTAGTTGGTTGCCACACTTTTTGTAACATTTTGATAGCTGATGCATTTTTTTAAACATTTGAACTTTGTGATTTGGTCTCTCTTTTAAAAATGGAATATTAATAGTGGCCTCTCTGTCCTCCATTTGAAACACTGACATTATAACATACTAATAATATTCTGATAGTTACCTGAGCTAGTACACAGCCCTGTCCCTCTGCCCTGACCGTGTACTCCCCGGGCACCTCGGGCAGGTTCTCCTCCTGGTACAGAAGTCGATTGGACTGATCCACAGTGAAGTCTGTGCTCAGGCCTCCTAATGATGTCACCTTCACTGCAGTACTGCCCTGCTCACTGTAGGTGGCAGCGGCATACTTGGCCAGTGCTTGGAGAGCCACCACAGTGTCCTGAATAGCCCCAGGGGAAGACAGGAAAAAAAACAGCCATGTTACTAAAACGTTTTAATAAAAAAAAAAACAACTATGTAGTGATTAACATATAAAAGTTAGATCAGATGCCGCCCCAGGTGCATACATTTTCATTTACACAGGCTTGGCACAGTCACACCCCTTATACTTTGCCTGGTTACTTACTGCTTAAAAAAAAAAAATCACTTCTGAAAACAAATGCCTTGGTTTAATTGGAACAGTGCATGTTAAAGGTGCACTGCATAGCAATAACATTTCCATGGAAACAAGCAGGTGGGGGACCCTGTATTAGAAATGTTACGCACCTTGAACATAATGTTATAAAAATAGTGAATTTTTCACACACCAAAGTAATTCAACACAGGAGGGGAAGTGGGTGAAATATCTTGCCCAAGGACACACTGTCAGTATGTACTAGAGACACTGCAGCCCCACAGTTGCACCTGGCATTCCTAGCAGTCTCCCATCCAAGCACTAACCAGGTCCAACCCCACTTAGCTTCCAAAATCAAACAAGATCGGGCATTCTCAAGGTGGTATAACCCATGTTTACACTATTACACTGTTTTTCTATGGTTTGTTGTCTAGAACTAGTGTAGGTAAATAATGTTTTTTATTGTAATTCGCTTGTTTTAGTTTGATTGTAAAATAATATGTTCAACTAAAACGGTTCACCTGTGTAGAGGAGAATCCACCATAGGGGTTCTGTTTCTGTGCGAGCCAGCGGACGATACTGGAACCATAGTCCAGACCAAACTCTGGTAGAGCAGGTCCAGAGAGCAGAGCCAGAAGAACATATGAAGTCATCTCCACCTCCAGAGAGTCCAGGCCTTTATCTGGCGCACCTGCCCTGTCCCAGTACCGTGTCCCACCTGTCATTCAAACAGCACTTCAAACTCAACACAAAAGAAACTTGCCAATTTATTTCTGACTATTCAGTATTAAAATATGTATTATATAATTGTTATTTCCATGTGTGTTTTGTCATATAGTTTAACATGTTCTTTGTTCAAGCTTTTCAAGATATCAATTACAGAAACATAATATGTCTCTTAATACCATACATTTTAGACACAAAGATGACAACCAGGTTTGACTTTCTTTCTTTCAATCTCCAGAACAAATCTTCGTAATATATTATATGAGTAAATTGGATGTTGCAATATTTTCCCAGAATTAACATGTAGACTGGACCCGTTTAGACAAGCACAAAAAAACACCTTGAATTTGACCACTTGGGGCTTAATTAAATTGTCAAAAAGGGATTTGCAGCCATTGTTTTCGGGGCTAAATTCAAATCTTTTTTTTTTATTATGTGCTGCTTTTCAAATGGCTACATTTTTCTCACCTTCCATTTTGGATTTCTGGTGCAGGTATGTGATGAGTTTGGTCCTGGTTTCCTGGTCTCCTGCCAGAGTAAAGGTGTAGGATAGCAGAGCAGTGGTGTACAGGTTATCCATTTGACCTGCTAGTGCCCCCCTTAGGCACACGAGACAGTTCTGCACCATGGGGTCCTGGCCACAGCAAGAAAATATGGGTGTCAAGAACTAGGAGATTATGACACAAGTTGTTTTCCTTAATCATTAGACCTAGGCATCAGTGGTGGAGCATGCCTTTCACACCTAGGCCTTCAGTAGTGCTCTGTCTGAAACAATACACTCCTCAACAACTATTTTATAGTTACATTATACACAGTATAAAGAGCCGAGGAGATTCCGTGCACATAGAAGTGAGGAGAGGGGGGCGCACAGTGCACGGAGAAGAAGTGATTAATAAAGTAATTAAAGGTTCTATAGTACACTTAAAACAGTGCTTCTCAAATAGTGGGGCGCCCCCTGGGGGGGCGCGAGGCTCCGTCAAGGGGGGCGCGTTTGACCTCGGGGAGCATGCTTTTTTATTTTTTTATTTTGATTTTTTTTACTGTCTTAAGGGCCGTTCACACCAAAGCGTCAAAAAACGCCTTGACGCTTCTATTTGGAGCCTTTGCGTTTGAGTTTAGACGCCCCCGACGCGCATCTTTGACGCCGTGGACGAACGGGACAAAAATACTTGACGCGCGTCCGTTGCCCTGGAAACAAGAGCCCGGTCCCGCTCCTTTCCCGAAACAATGTCAGACCAGACTGAGAGAGTGTTTTTAAGACATAAAACATCAGCGGAGGAGATCGGGTCGACGACTGGGGCTTATATATATTTCTACTCCGCTAATGACACTGAATCAGTCCCGGTCTAGTCCTGGTCTAATACCGGTCTGGTCCTGGTCTAATCACGGTCTAGTCCCGGTCTAGTCCTGGTCTAATCACGGTCTAGTCCCGGTCTGGTCCCGGTCTAGTCCCGGTCTAGTCCTGGTCTAATCACGGTCTAGTCCCGGTCTAGTCCTTGTCTAGTCTCGGTCTAGTCTCGGTCTAGTCTCGGTCTAGTCTCGGTCTAGTCTCGGTCTAGTCCTGGTTTAGTCCTGGTCCGGTCCTGGTGTATTCCTCGCGATCGGCTCGGTGATTGTGGCGTATATATTTATTCTCCGCTCATGTTTGTGGTTCTCGTTCTGGTTCTCGGGTTTTTCTTCCTGATAATAACGTCGCTGCGTCTCTGGATACTCGTCCCTGATTGGTTGACGCGGCGCGTCTGACGCGAAAAGTTCAGAATTTTCAACTTCTTGACGCTGACGCCTTGGACGCGCGTCTTGGCCGCTGACGCCAAAACGCTGAAGACGCGCTGCGCTGACGCCAGATTCGCGCCGCGCTGACGCCGAAAACGCGCCGCAAAAACGCAGGACGCTCTAGTCGCGCGTCCACATAGACTTTACATAGAAAGTGGACACTTTGACGCTTTGGTCTGAACGGGCCTTTAGAATAAAGTGCAATTGCACTTCCACTACATTAGGGGGCAGCGGCGCTCTCATTGGCAGAGTGTGCGCAGGGAGCATTCGCTCGGTGGTGTAGGTGTTTTGTTTGCACTGAGCATGCGCGCTTTGCACACAGCACAGAGTTTGAGTATGAAGTGTAGACACGAAGTGTAGCAGACCCTCAAGTGACACCATGAAAAATGGGGGGGGGCGCGAGATGTTTTATTCATCCTAGGGGGGGCATGACAGAAAATAATTGAGAAGCACTGACTTAAAATGACTCATTTGAGCTTTAATCCATATTTCACTGCAGTTAAATGTTATGTTAAAAAGCTGCTCTGTTCCACCTTGTGATGTCATGCAGAGATGGATTTAAATTTTAGTAGAGACTGGCAATTCCAGGTCTGAAATGATCCAAATAATTCTAGTGAAAGTGTATGCAGTTTAAAACACAGTGGAGGACTTCCTGTATTACCATATGACATCACAAGGTGGAACAGAGTGTTTTCTGTTTGAGAGAAGAATTCATTCTAAATATGCAGGGTCCATGTGTTAAACATGTGTGAATGAAACAAAACACAACAGGTCTGTCTGTGATGAGGAAACAACATTATGACAGAGATCAGAAAATAGCTCAATATGAGCCTTTTAAATTAGTGAATGACATTAATTGTACAAGAACATTTGTAAGATAGATTTCTCTGAGTATAACAAAATTACCTGTTCTATATTACTTACGGTCACACCTATATCCAGCTCCAGAAGTGCAGCTGTGATGTAAGCTGTGAGGGACACATCATCACTCACTCCCCCCTAGAAAAGAAAATAAGTCAATTAAAAAAAACAAAAACATGAATACAGTCCTAGATCTCAGTAAGGATAATTGCCCTGAGATCTACATGGTGCCTAACAGTCTTTGAAGTCATGAGGTTGCAGCCTAGATTATATTTCCTTTATAGAGCATTGTTAGTTGGGTCTGGCCAATTATCACAGAGTCTGTGTTGTTTGCCTTTGGGCCTGAGGCGAGGTACTCCAGAGCTCAGTCTTACTCCACTAATTATTCATAACACAATACACAGCAGCATCTAGACAAGCATTTGACAATCTTATTTGAAGCTGTATGAACTGTTGAAATGTATGAAATGTTCAAACCATGAAGAAGGAGGAAGTCTGTATTTAAATTAGTGATGGACAATACCAGTGATTATTGTTTCAGTCTGATACCATGTAATACTATGGCAAGTATCGCAATATCCATCTTCTACCCATCTTTCCTCCACCCCTTTTTGAATTGATCCAAAAATTAAACAGATGTGCAGATAAACTACAATATAATCAGTATATTAAGTAATAATGATTAAAAAGCTTTTATTTTTATTTTATATATTATTTTATTTATCTCACGCACAGCGACACCAAATGCTGCTTTTACTATAAACTCAATAGAGGAAAACAAAATGTACTCATTAAGTCGAGTACCCCACCTCTAAGACACCCAAAATAAAATAGAAACATACAATAATTAAAAACGAGCCATTGTACCTTCATGCCATTATGAAAAAGTTTGCCGACAGACGTGATGCACCCATTTGGCCTCTGGTGACGTGCGAGCCAGTTCTTTGCCTCGTCAATGTGCTTTGGTTGGACAAAAATGTATGGCCGAGCTCCTCCAAAGGATTTCATCACAAATGTGGTCAGCCTGAGAAGACACACACGTGGAATCCACAATCAATACTTTTTCAATAATGGGGTATTATTGAAAAAATACACATAAAAAAAAAAGTAGTAGTAGTCGAAACGCGTTGGCGTGACTATTAATAAATTCACCGCAAATGAGAGTGCCGCTGCCATCCTTTTTTTCTATTTTATAAAAAATTGTATGTTGTTTCAAAAAAGGAAAAAAAATGGTTTCATTTGATTTATTTCTCTATATTTGACTGGCAATGCTCCTTGGTCCATCTCCCTCCTGATTTGTTACATATATTTTACAGTAAACATTTTTAAAGGTGCAGTCACTGTGTGTGTGTGTGTGCGCGCGTGTGTATATATATATATATATATATATATATATATATTAGGGCTGGGCAAAAATAAAAAAAATTAATCGCATGTTATACGCAAAACCAATTAATGAATTAAAAAGTAGAGTATAGTGACTTTTATTGGAAAGCCATACATTTGTTGTGCAAACAGCATTTCTTTCACAGGGGAACCCTCAGAGCCTTCAAGGTGTTCAGGGAAGGCTGAAGAAAAAATATTGAATGGATGTCTGTACTACTAATATATTTATTGAATATTTTTTATGCTGTGAGTAATGAACACTACGGAGGCTCGGGCCCGTTGCATCTCACGTGGTCAGGAAAAAGTGAAAAAAGTGTCAAGAAAAGACGTCAAACTTAAAGAAACGCTCGCGGTGGACTTTTTCAAAATAAAAGCCAGTGAGAAACAGACGTTTACAATAAAATAAATAAATAAATAATAAAAACTGCGTTAACGGCGTTAAAATAATTGTTGGCGTTGATGACTTAATTAGTTAACGCAAAGTTAACGCAAAGTTAACGCGTTAACGTGCCCGGCCCTAATATATATATATATATATTTACATATATACATACACACGTACATACATACATATATACATACACACACACACGCGCATACATATATGTCCATCCATTGTCTTATCCGGGGCCGGGTCGTGGGGGCTGCAGTCTAAGCAGTGACTCCCAGATTTTCTTCACCCCAGACATTTCGGAAATGGGAGGCCCCAAGGTGTTCCCAGGACAGGTGTTCCCAGGTGTTCACAGGCCAGCCAAGAGACATATCCTCCAAGCATGTCCCGGGTCTTCCTTGGGGCCTCCTTCTGGTGGGATGTGCCAAAAACAACTCCCGAGGGAGGCACCCAGGAGGCATCAGGAACAGATGCCCAAGCCACCTCAACTGGCTCCTCTCGACATGAAGGAGCAGCGGCTCGATTCTGAGCTCCTCCTGTGTGACTGAGCTCCTCACCCTATCTCTACTGTAAGGGAGCAACCAGCCACCCTGTGGAGGAAACTCATTTTGACCACTTTCGGTCATTACCCAAAGCTTATGACCATATGTGAGGATAGGAACATAGATTGACCGGTAAATTGAGAGCATTACCTTTCAGCTTAGCCCCCTCTTTACCATAGCAGTCCGGTACAGCGATTGCATCACTGTAACCACTGCACTGATCTGTCTGACAAGTTCCATCCTCCCCTCATTCATGAATAAGACCCTGAGATACTTCAGCTCCTCCACCCACCCGTAGAGGACAAGCCACCTTTTTCCGGTTGAGAACCATGATCTCAGAGGAGCTGATTTTCATCCCTGCCACTTCACACTTGGCTACAAACCGCCCCAGTGCACATTGCAGGTCCTGGCTTGATGGAATCAACAGGACAACATCATCTGCAAACAGCAGAGATGAGATCCTGTGGTCCCCAAACCGGACCCCCTCTGGGCTCTGGCTGCACCTAGAAATTCTGTCCTTAAATACAATGAACAGAACCGGTGACAAAGGGCAGCCCTAGCAGAGTCCAACATGCACTGGGAATAGGTCTGACTTACTGCTGGCAATGTGAACACGGCTCCTGCTCCAGTCAGACCCCATACTCCCAGAGCACCCCCTACAGTAAATCGCGAGGGACATGGTCGAATGCGTTCTCCAGATCCACAAAGCACATGTGGACTGGTTGGGCAAACTTCCATGAACCCTCGAGCACCTGATGGAGAGTATACAGCTGGTCGAGTGTTCCGTGGTCAGGATGAAATACGCACTGCTCCTCCTGAATATGAGGTGCGACTATTGACTATTCGGATTCTCACCCTGGAATAGATTATTAAAGAATAAAATATATAAATGGCTCCGCATTCCAAACAGGAAGTGAGCAAGGGGCATTTCCAGTCCATCAACTTTCCATTGAAAAATTGTCAACCCTCTCCCTGTAATTGCTGCAGTAAGCCTTGTCAATTTGGTCTTATAATGTTTGTGTTAACCTGTTCTACATGATCCTGGTGTTTTTATTTTGTTATTTTGTCCATAAATAAATTCCTATTCCTAATCTGTAATTTGGCTCCAAATTGGAATGTTCCACAGTATGGCATTAAATTATCCAGCCATGGAGACAAGCAAGTGATTTCGGCAGGCCAAAACCATACAGGCCAAATAATAATAATGTATAATTGAATACGTGCAAGACAGATAAGGTAAACATAAAAGGTAAACAAAAAAGTAGGCGGGAAAGTTACATAATATACCTTTAAACAAAGATTATGATATTTTATCTCCAAGCTACTTTCAATAATAAACCCAATGTAAATGCTTTCTGAATACTTCCATTGTCTTTTCTAAACAAACAACACTATGTTTGGCAAGTTGGACAATCCTTGGTTCACACACACCTACACAGCTCTGTTACCTGCCAAACTGCCCAGTGGTGTCTAATAAAGAGCAGAGGGGTAGATAATTCCCCCGGGGGCTGCAATTTTAAGCCTATTCAATTCAAATATTCACATTTTGGCAGCGCTTTTGGATGTATTAAGATGTGTGCTGGTGCCAGACAGCAGTGGGGAAACCATTCTTTTTCTCCGATCAAAAAAGTGTGAGATTAAAAGCTGAAAATACACACAGCGCTGCCCTAAATAAATGCTTTTAAATGTTGGGTAACAAATGATGCAACAAATACAAGTTATGCCATCAGAAATATACCTCATTCTCTATTTGTGTTCTAAACTGTGTAGACCAAAGATTGCTGAACATTTATGTGTAGTTTTAGGCACTAATATGAACAAATGCAGTGACAACACTTTGTAAGGTGTAAAGTATTTACATCAGATGCCCTTCTTATATAGTATAGCTATACTGGTTTGTGAAATCCTGATCTTGTCAGATCTCAGAAGCTAAGCAAGTTTGGGCTTAGTTAGTATTTGGATGGGAGATGCTGGGAATACCAGGGGCCACAGCAAGGTGCCAGTGGCAAAAAACTGTTATTGTGTCCTTAGGCAAGACACTTCACACACATTGCCTAGTAAGAATGTGCTGTGTGAGGTTGTAGGGGCCGATGGCACAGATAGACACAAGAACAGTAACATGCCACCATTAAGTATGTGCAGTGATTATTTAATGCATGAAGCTGAAACTGAAACATGAAAAGATGTTATATAAAACTAATGCTATAAACATTATTATTATGATCATTAGTAATTATTGGCTGTTAGGATGTTTTTTGGAGTTGGTTAATTTACTGACCATGTGTTTCCAGACTGGTCAGACTTTCCAAAGGCACTGTATGAACCATCATCATGTTTGTAGGTGAGTTCCCTCTGATATCCTGCAAAAGATAGATGAAAATAAATATTAACTAACAAATTAGAAAAAGCTTGCATTAAAAATAAATTCACTTTTTATGCGGCAAACCTACACTGTTACAGCTGTGACTACCTAAAATCATAGATGGTATAAAGAAGTGGACAAAGGGAGTGTGACATCACCCATAGCATTCAGCTCTAGTCAAATGAAGCTGACAATACTAGCAGTTATAGGGTGAATTTGGAGCCAAGCCTAGGAAAAGGAATTGATTTATGGATAAAACAGCAAAATAAAAACAGCAGAATCATGTAGAGCGGATTAATACAAACATTTTAAGAACAAAATAATGAGGCTCACAGCAGCAGCAGCTTTTCAGTGTAAAGTCAATTGGAATCAATGTAGCCGGAAGCACGCCCAAGCACACTTCCTATTTGGAATGCAGTGGCTAGTGGGTTAGCGATTTACATTTATATATATACAGTCTATGCCTAAAATGTGCTTTTTGTGCATTAAAAAGTAAGAACAAAAAATAAAATTATATGGGCCAGTGACCTGACTGTAGGAATTCAGTAGCTCTGTCCAGTATATCCTTGGTGAGTTGTCCTGTGCTCTTCAGATAGTTCAGGATGAAAATGTTTGGGGCAAACAGCACCATGTTCTGCTCCCCACAGCCGTACGGCATGGCCAGCAATTTGTCCAGGTTCTTCATGGCTCTCCCCATTAGATCACCTACAAATTGAATGACCACAACATTAGCTTACTTTTAAAGGTCCAATAATACGCTAAATTGACTCTTGTGAGCTTTAAGCCTTGTTAGAAAATTGTCCTCATCAAAACATACCTGGAGGTGTTTTGTTTAATTCACGCATGTTTAAAGATGTAGACAGACTAATAAAACAGTATTACACAAAGCTCAAAATGCTCTGTCCCACCTTGTGATGACATGTAATGGTAGTTTTCAATACTAACAGCTGCCCTTTGTTCAGTAAAGATTGGAAATTCCAGGACTAAAGTTATACAAATGATTGTAGTGAAGGTGTAGGTAGTTTAAAAACAGTGGAACACTTCCTATATCACCACATGACATCACAAGGTAGAACAGAGTGTTTTTTGTAGACAAGAACTCAGCAAAGCATAACTCTAGGCATGTGAAGAATCCCTCAGTCGTCCAGGTAGAATTCATGGCGAGGAAAAAATTCAGTTTGTCGACTGCAGCTTGGACGAGCTGCGAAATGTCTTCAACCAAACTAACTTTTGTCCGGTCGATAAACTGAATTTTGTTGTTTTCTCATCAAAAACATGCTAGGCATGTTTTTGATGAGAAAACAACATTATAGCATATATCATAAAATAATGCAATTTGAGCCCTTTAAGAGATATTAAAACACAGGGAGGTAAATGTGGAGCTACAAACCCAGAACGGAGACTGTGGCTCGAGCTGATCCAGCAACAAACATCTCAGGCATCAGGAGGGAGATTTTCTTCTCCACTGGACCCTCTACAACAAGACATATAGTATACAGTGAATACACAATACAGAACAATAGAGTATTATGGTCCACAAAGTATTTAGCGAAAGAAAGATTAAGATGAAAACTCACCTGCAGGACACAACAGTGCATTGTGGCTCACCATCTGTGGTGTTCCTTCAGCCTGGAGAAAAAAAATTAAATCATTATTAATGTTTAAAACTTAATATTCAAACTGAGAACTTTAAAATAAATCAGAAAGAAGATGGAGGTCAAAGTGTATAACTCTATCATTTATTTCATTTAATGATTTGTGAATAAATTCTGTTTGCCATAGTTTGATTGTCATCTCAATGTGTTTCCAGAATATAATTCATTATGGTCTTGAGCCTTGTTTCTGTACAGTAGTGTGCACTGACCTGCACCAGTAGTGTGCGGACCACCGTATCGATCTGGCCCATCTCGGGGACAGTGGCAACCTCGTTCCCACACAGGAGGTCAGTCTTTAGGGCCTCTGCACTGACCCGCAGGCTCACCTCACCTGTGGACCATGGCCGAATGATTACTTCCACTGTCACATTCTGAGCACCAGTCCCCCTTATGTCCCATCATGTGGACCTCCTCATGTGGACCTCCTCTGTCCCAGCTGCTGACTGTCCCCCTCCTGGTCCCAGCCATTTCTCCCTCCCCAGTCTCAGCTCATCGGGCTCATTAATCCCCATTTGTCGCCTTATTATTGGGCTCCCCCCTCAGCGCCTTCAGTCATCTCACACAGAGGACGAGTACAGATGGGCCCTGGGGGAGAGCTTTCCTGCTGTTTCGTCAGAGAGAATACCTGACTTGTTAGTACAAGTGATTGTCAGCAGAGCCGTGAGGGGCGTTAGAGGAGCCTGTTCTCATCCCACTGATGGAGGCTGATGGAGCTCACACCATTAAGAACAACTGTTTCACTTTTACATGGCCCGCAGCACACCCAGCTGTCAGGGGCTTATAATGAAGGGTAATTAGTTTCTTCTATCTCCCGTTTGTCACTAAGAGCCACACAAAAACTGCTAATCCAAATTCAATCATTCAAGACTTAGGCCATGCTATTACATGATAATAAAAAAAATTATATATATGGTTGATAAACCCAGCTGAATCAATTTAGTTATTTTAATCAAAATACATGCTTCTGATTACAAGAAATTATTTTGAAAAAGTATTATACAGATAAGCCTGAAAGTGTCTTAAAATTTTGCATTTAATCAATAAAATCTGACAGAATGTCTGAATCTCATTATTCCTCCTTTATGGCTATTTTAATTTTAAATCTAATGATTTTAAATCAGTTTTGTGTAAGAGTAATGAACAGATTTTTGTCTTGTCAAATTTTCTTAACACACAAACCTAAAAATTTAAGGTTTATAAAGCATATAAATTAATACAAACAAGCTCTTACCCAGAGTGGTTGGCGTGACGACCCAGGAGAAGGTGGAGCTCTCCTCGCCGCACAGACACACAGTGTACTGGCAACTGTCACAGGGCTTAAAGGTGAAGTGGTCTGATTCAGCCAATGTCACCTTCACCTAGAAATCACAATCACAACTAGCACAATTTATTTTAATTTTGTTACTTTATTACAATGTACATCAATTCTGACAACTATCATATCATTTTTGCACTGTTTTTCCGAATAACCTCTTATATCTCGTAGCTGAGATATATTTTTACTTATATATATATATATGTTTACTGGTCTATAATTATGCTTTATTTGAGATCAGCAAACCTATTTTTGCTACTTATTTCGAATTTATTATTACTATTATTATTATTTCTCTTTGTTATTATAGTATATTGTGATGTTGTAGCTACAATGTCCAAATAACTTCCCTTGTAGGTCTATAGTTTTTCAAAATCTAAGTACTGTATCACTTTTGAGTACTGTATACAGTGTAGCTCTAAATAATAATATTTTAATTTTCATGTATTTTTATCTTAAAAAATAAAAACATTCACTTCCACTTTAAAAACACAGAAACAGACAGTAGCCTGCCCACTACATCACCATCAGACTATGTTGTCGATGCAGCAGCCACTTGCAAGACAAAAACAATTACAGGCTAGGTCACTTTATAGTCGCTGGCTTTTATTTACACTTCATTATTTTTTACATTATTTAACCTTATGTGTATCATTTGAGTATGATTTAAAAAAAATTAAATTATTGGGGTAATGGGTAGGTCTGTCACGATAAAGTACTAAAGTGTTTCATTCTGCTATTTATTTATTGTAGTTTATGATTTTTATATGATTATTATAGTTTTTGTGGTTTAAATTTGCTCTTGGGTTATTATGTCAAAAGGCATAAATTAGTTTCAATATTATAATTTCTCGTCAAAATTTACTTCAGTAATGTATCGCACTTCAAAATATGTTATTGTGACATGTCTAGCTATGGGTGAGGATTTGCGATAAGTGCTATAGTATATTCTGAGCTATTACGATTTCATCAAATGCAGAAAAATACACAATCACTAAACATGCATAAATCACAAGATAATAAGCAAGTGATTGTACCATGATGCACTTGGAGAGGTAGTTGAAGACAGTGGCTTTCAGCGTAAACACCTCTCCTCTGATGACGGAGTAGGGCAAAGTGAGACTCACGAAGAATGGTTGGAAAGCAGTTAGGGCTGTGTTTGGGGCGATGCCAAGTCCCACCGAGGACACACAGAACGCATTTGCTGCCCATTTAGTAATGGTGTCTGGGACAGTTTTCTCCACATTCACCGAGCCACTGGGGCTGTACAAAATATATATGGACAACAAAAGTCTGCATATAATAATAATACATATATAATAATATATAGAAAAAAGTATTATTATATTATTATATGTAAAAGAGGTTTGGAGAGGTTACTAGCAAAGTTAGGATGTCAAGACAATTTGGTTATTTAATTATTGTGAAAAAAATTCATGTGAAATTATAAGAAGAACTATTTATTGTGTCCCTTGTAAAAGCAATAACAATTCATTTCAGTCTGTTCTGTGTTTAAGTGTAAATTGAAGGTGCACTGTCTAACTTTCTGGTGAAAGGTCTGCCACCTCCCTGTCTTCATGGAGATGTTACTGCTTTGTCTTGACCACCCCACAGTATGGCATTAAACCATAGACTGTAAAGAAGTGAACTCAGCGAGTGTGACGTTGCATATAGCATTCAGCGCCGCTCAAATGAGGCTCGCAATTCTAACAGTTACAGGAGCAAATCTGGAGCCAGGCTCTATGCTAATGAAAAGGATTATTTTGATGGACAAAATAGCGAAAAAAAAAATCTGGATCATGTAAAGCGATCAATTTCCATAGAGACAAGCCCGCAATGCCTCCAGGCAAAGTTACTGGTCAAATTTGTGAGGAGGTGAACTCACTCACTGTAGGAATGTATGTTTTTCATAGTTTTTTGGAGCAGTAAAACATCTGTAATTGAATAAATTAAGGTGAGTTTAATGCCATACCGTGAAACCTTCCAGACAAAGCAAAAATATCTCTCCCCTACCAGAAAATGTACACAGTCTACCTTTGAGTAACATTAACTGAACTTATTTTTGAGTCTGATTTCATGATGCTGGTCTCAAACTATAGGAAGTGAATTAAGTATTGCACTCTTGTTTGGTCATCCTGTCAGTAATTGTATAATTGTGATGTTTCTTCTTACAATATTAACAATATAACAATATAACACTAAAAATCTACATCGTGGCATCCATATGAAGCAGCTATTCCAAAAGTATTTGGCACTACGGTCCCAAATCCCACTAACCCTAACCCACAGAGCCCCCCAACAATAACAGTCCATTCTAAAAAGAATGAAAAAAGAAAAAGTACTAACCACCATTAGTGATTTCAAAACCCGTTATACTTTAAAATACAAGAATTCATGTTTTCTTTCTCTTTTAATTATATCAGATTATTACCCGACAGACACCAGGTCCCAGATCCATGTTTCTGGGAAGAAAGTCCTGACGGTCTCCTTCTTTTGCTCGTTGTCCTTAGTGAGGAACTCGCCCATTGTGTTAAAGGCCATGGGGACTGGAGAATCTACCACATCTAAGAATACATAAATAAGAAAACAGCATTAGCACAAACACTTACCCGACTGAGACCAGCTCCCAAATCCAGGTTTCGGGGAAGTATGTTCTAATGGTCTCTTTGGTCTCTGAGGTCTCTTTGGTCTCTGTGGTCTCTTTGCTCTGTTTCACTTCTATCACTAAGTCCACCTGTGAAGCTGCATTTTCATCATAATCGTATGTACCATCGTAGAACATATCGTACAGTCGGTCGTGGCAGTTATAGGGTTTCTTCACATCAGAGTTGGTCACAATCTTGATTCCTATTTCCTAGAAAAAACAAGATTCAAAATTCAGAATGATTTATACATTTTAATGCAGTTTGGCTAACACTTTGGCTGACAGATCACCTGTCTTCTCCCCAGTACCACTAGAAAATTTGAGCAAAATTGTGTTTTGTATGTATTTTGGTTGAACCTATGGGCAGGTAAAACAATTTTTTTGATTGCTTTGGACTTTCTCAAAATTTTTTATAATTTTTTTAAATACATTTTTAAAATTTGTATTTGTCACTCAATATAATTCAGTATAACTCTAAACCCTGTTATGAGTAGCTGTGAGGACATATTACTTTAAAGATGCTGTAGACATCATCCTTGTGATGGACAGGTCCAAAATATGAGGAACGTTTCCTGCGTCTGTCTCCCTGCACCGGCACCTCAATCTCTGGGTCCCCCAGCACTTCCGGCATGGGCACTGGGAAACACGGGTACGGCTCATGGTCCTCTGCCTCATATGGATAACCAGACAGCTTCTGGAAGGGCAGCTGGTCGTACACCTGAGAAAAACAAGACATTACTGATAGAAGAAAGGTAAAGAAATTATTAAACATTTGCTGATTGAAAATGTTACATATTAAAGGTGCACTATGTAACTTTTTGGCTATATATAATATATATATATATATATATATATATATATATATATATATATATATATGTTTTTTGTGCATTCATAAATAAATTTCCAACTTGTCAACATGCAGGCCTAATTGAGGCTACTTTTAACATCACTGAACATCAGTAGGACATGAGGACTAAACCAGGACTAAACCAGGTCTAAATCAGGTCTAAACCAGGACTAAACCAGGTCTAAACCAGTACTAAACCAGGACTAAAGCAGGACTAAAGCAGGACAAAAGCAGGACTAATCTTGGACTTGAGAGAGAGAGGGGGAGAACCCCGAGCCCGAGGAACAGGGTGCCCACAAAGCGCGATCGGGTGACAGCTGCGCTTAGCTGCGTGAGGCACGGAGCTCTGCACTAGTCCTTTCGCCAGCAGTCACCCCGACGGTCTACGCGGGTGCACCTATGGGCCCGTCCTGACACTCAGTCCTGTTCAGCTCTGGTTTAGTCCTGGTTTAGTCCTATTTTAGTCCTAGTTCAGTCCTGGTTTAATCGTGGGATCAGTCTTGGTTTAGTCCGCATGTGTCGTGCCCCCAGTGGCTCTTTGGTTTGGTTCGGGCTTCACCTATTGAAAACTGCTGAATAGGACAATACAGGTTCACCTAAATTACAATCACCTCATGTCTGAGATAAATGCAATGTGTCTCAGCTCTCAATATTTTAGATGAAATCTAAAAAAATAATTGTCTTGAAAATGTATAAAAGGATAGGATGTCATACATAGTCCACAGTGAGCTCTACTCCAGACTTGAGCAGGAGGACACTTTGGTCAATGGCTCGGACTGAGCACAGAGAGTTGGGATGAGCCTGCAATGTCAGGGTGGTCTTCTCTGCTGGAAGCTGCTGAAGAGATGCAAACTTCAGGGAAACCTGTTGGGGGAGGGCAGGGAGGGATGGGGGGATTGTTCAGAAAGTCAAATCTTTAGGCAACTGAAAAACCTTAAATTTAATTAAATGCATACAGTTAGGCCTGTCACGACAGACAAATTTGAAGGAAGATCTATGCTGAAGTAAATATAGATGATAAATGATAATATTGAAACTCATTTATTCTCCTGACACAAAAACCTAAGAGCAAAATTATGCTACTTAAATAACAGAAAGAAACATATAAATCCTTAATTTGTATCTACAATGTGTAATTTATTCAACCCCGCTACAACTCAAATATTATTATAGTATGGAAAAATAAGAAAAATTCCAACACTTCTAGTACAGAGAAAAAGTATTCATGATAAATACTGACCCCCAAAAAACTGTTCCATCTGTTATGTATAGAATGATAATTCAATATAGTAATTATCAAGACAGGCCTGCCTGCAGCGTTTTCAGGTGTAGTTCTTATACCTTGTTACTGAGACACAGCTGAACAGGGAAGTCCTTACTGTCCGCCACAGCCTCTCCACTGGGCATCACTGTATACACGAGCACCTGAGCCATGGGTGCCAACTTGACCACCTGACGCAAGGGTATGGTCAACACCCCTTTGTTCACTGGAAAAAAAGACACAGCTAATAATTATTATAGTTACACTTTGTACAGGCATACATTTAGTCATAATTAAGCATTTGGAAAAGGTACATACAAGTTAACACATGTAAATATGTAAATCAATAGGATAAACTTTCTGGAAATGACTTTGAATAAATTCATTTGCCCTTGTCATTCTTTAAAATTCAAAATAATTTACCCATATCTTTTTTAACAGCCTCAGATATACGGTCATGCTGGACAATTGAGCCTTTGGACATCACCTGAAAAACGGCATAAACAAGAGGAGCTTTTTGTGTCTTTATAGGTGTTTGTCATTCAACAAAAATTGATTTCCATAAAATAATTCCCAATTACATAAAACAAAGATATCTAAAGAAACTGCTTATGTTCAAATGGTAAAGCTGCATTCGTTCAGATGGTGGTGTCAAAAAAATTCCTCTAGTTGGACGCATTTGCATTTGAGGGCAGATGCTTGAAACTCATAAACAGTATAAAAATTGCAGCTTCCCTTATTTTGAGATTGTGTCACACATTTGACTCAATGGTTTTAGACCTAGATTTGTTTATTTATTTTAGTGTCTGCCAAGATTGCAGTCCCGAGCAGTTATAATGTCACTCTTGACACCACATTTGATTGGTCCTGTTCAGTGTTCAGTGAATTCTTACCAGGTAAAAGAAGTCAAGGCTTTCCTGCCCATCCTTCAGCTCCTTTCCTTGGATAATGTACTCAGCTCGGACTGTGGCCTCTTTGTTGCAGCGAAACTTGCCTTCGTTTAGCTTGATTTTCAGAAAACTGCTGCTTTTGGAGTAAAAAGCTGTGACTGCACGGACAGCATAACGGTACTCTGGAGAACGTACATTGGGGACATAGGTCTCCTTAGTTCCTGGCTCTAAGCAGGATGCCTGTGGAAAAAAATATTATGACATTTTACAGAGGATGTCAAGTCATCATTATCTTACTCAAAGTTATACTCACTACATGTTTGAATGCAAGATAATGCAGGATTACTCAAAGCTTGGATGTCTCTCTACCCTCTGCTCTGTACTAATAGTCCTATTTGCAATGTTTAAAAAGAACAAAACAAAAAAAACCTGCTGCTCTCTCTTTCTCTCTTCATCCATAATGAAGTCAAACTATAGCTGAATGAGGCAAAAGTGCTGAGAGTCTACTCACATGGACAGTGACAGAGTCCTTCCAGAGGGATGTGTCCAGGGAAAAGGAGGCCATGCCTTTCTGGTCTGTGGTGAGTGTGACGTTTTCTGAGTATTTACCAATGGTCACATAAACCTTCTCATTAGCAACAGGCTTAGAATCAGGACCAACCACTTTCACCTGGAACAGAGAGGAAAACAAATACATTTTTGCAACTCACCCTTATATAATTCATCTTTGCACTGTTTTCTGAAATATATTTCCATTTATATTTTTGCTCTTATTATTATATTTATTATGATAAGTGAGCTACTGTGTTCAAATAATTTCAAATTTAAGGTTAGTGAGTGAAAGCCAATCCAGGACTAGAAGAGGACTAAACATTGCTCAACCCAGGACTAAAATAAGACATGTGTGAATAACCCCATAGTAATGTCAAGACCAAACATTTCACCATTTTAAAGTGTAATATAATCCATACTTTTCCTTCAAACGCGATGCCGGACTTGTATGCTGCAGGTTCATCTTCAAAAGTGACTGTTCTGATGTCATTGGTGAAGCTGGTCCGAGCACTGCCTCTGAGTGTAACTCCTAATCCAGTGACAGTACAAATTAGAAAATATATTCAAATGACCACATAAAAATATATTTAAATGTGCACTGTGTAACTTTTCTAGTAGAGGGCCCACCACCTGCTTGTCTCCATGGAGATGTTATTCGTTTGTCTGGAATATTCCAGTAAGGCATAGAACATATTTACCCAATAATGTGGGTTTTTACTGACTTAAAAACTGGCATTCTTACTGTGAGTGGGCTCAGTTCTCCACAGATCTGACATGTAACTTGGCCCTGTGGTGTCACCTGTTGTCGCCATAGAGATAAATATGTGTAATGCCATATTGTGGAATATTTCAGGCAAAGTATCCATGGAGAAAAGCACATGACGGACCCTTCAACAGAAAAATTACACAGTGCACCTTTAAAGTGAGAAATAAAAAAAAAATTAAAAAAAACATTACCAGTGCCAAATTCCTGCAATTCTGCCTCGAGTTGAAAGTTGTCATGATACCCACTCTTATTCAGGAAAAACTCAGAAAGATTCACAGTTTGAGAAGTGCAACCGCTTTTGTCCGTCTAAAAAACAATAAAAATTTACCATTACACAGCACGATAATTCCTTTATCAACTTATTGTTCAGTATATGAAAGCTGGAAGAATATATTTTGGTGTCAATATTTATCGTGTGCATTTTTTTCTTTGTGCTACTGGAAAATATTTTGTTGGTTTTTAGCTATATGATAAGACTTAAGCCATAAAGACTGAATTTATAACTTCTATGACTCATTACAGATGCAAACTAAGTACTAAAATGCTTCATTCTGGTGTTTATTTATTTCAGCTCATGAACAATATTGTCGATTTAGATTTATTTAGTTTTGTGGGTTTAAATCTGCTTTTTTTTTTTTTTTTTTTTGGTCTCAGTGGCAGAAATTTGTTTCAGTATTACCGTTTATCATCTATATTTACCTCAGCAATATATTGGCCTTCAAAAGTTGTTATCGTGATGGGCCTACACAGTACCATTGCTACACCACCAGTGTACAATAAAGAGCCACTTCAGTTATTTAGATAAATCTGTGCTACTTACTGTGAGCTGGAAGGTCTTGCACACATCCTGGTTGTTTCTGGCATACCAATACCCTCGAAATGCTCTTCTACAGAACACTGCTTTAACAGAACCCACCACTGGTTTTCCGTAAGTGTACCTGCACAGAGCAATGGGACCTTTTAATTGGGTAGAAATTTTAAATGTATAATATGACTTAACATGATATATATATATATATATGTGTGTGTGTGTGTGTGTATATATATTGACATTCAGAATAATGATGAGAGCAATACAAAAAAGTAATTAATAACACACGTTATTAATAATGTAAAAAATGTCAACGCAAAATTGACTCTTGTGAGGTTTAAACAAATGAAAAACACACCCCAGAGTTGAGTTTTGTTTCATTCAGTTGAGCTGAGGTGAGTTTTGTTTGAGTAATCTTTTATTATTAGTCTGTCTACATTTACAAAGCTCAAAATGCTCTGTTCCACCTTGTGATGTCATGAAGTGTAGTTTTCAAGTTAACAGTTCAGTGATCCAAATGATTCTAATGAAAGTATATGTGGAACACATATGTGGAAATACAGTGGAACACTTCCTGTATTACTATTATTGAGAGGAGAACTAACTATAACTGAATATGCAGGGTTTTAGACTCACTCACTTTCCACAGACTTTAAAGTTGGCTTCTGTATCCAATATCGTGATCACGTTTGGCAGCTGGACTTTCACTTCATATTTGGGCAAAACTGAGGCAAAAAAAAAAAAAAAGTATAAAAATTACACATAGAATCAAATGTAATAGTATATTCCCTGTGGGAATGTGTGAAGCTAACTGAAAGCTCTGCTGTGTGAGCTCTGTTACTCAAGTTAGACTTTAATCTGAGCTTTGTTTTAACACAGTCTGACCAGAAAGAGCTGATTTGGTTAGAACTAGAATAGGTGATCTGATTTGTGCTGTTATTAAAGTCTCTCACACATAAAATTACAGTCAGAGGCTAGATAGCATTAGCAAACAATTTACAGTTAGTCGCTTTCACCTTTTTGTTGAAAATCAAATACTCATATTGATCACCAGAAAATGTGCTGTTTACACCAATTTCATACGATATTAAAACATTTTGTCTGTGCCTCCAGCAGCGTGATGTCACTGCAAAGTATCAATACAAGTAAAAAGTAAAACAAACCGTATTCCTTGATGTCAAAGTTGTGCTGTACTTGCTCTCCCTGCTCAGTAGTGGCAGTAATGGTGTAGGTCCCCTGTGCTGCTTCAGGGATTATTGGGTGTGAAAGATCCAGGATGCCCCCATCAATGGTCTTATCTAACCACTGAGCAATGCGATTTGTACTGGGATCCTTAAAGCAAGAGCAAATATAGAGCAGATCGCAAAATTAATTAAAATAAAAGCCTTTGGAAGTAGGCCATGGTTAAGGTATAGATAAATGAATACTAAAATAATTACAGTGGTTTATTTTGCGATATAATATTTCCAATATCATTTAATGGGTCAATGTTAAAAAACACTTCGAGTTTTGTTTCAATCACACATGCTTATTCCTATTTTACGTTCTTCTCTCATACTGCAAAAAACTGTTCCACCTTGTGATGTCATGCGGTAATACAGGAAGTGCTTATTATATTTTTAAAGTCCAGGCACCTTCACTTGGATCATTTAGATAATTTCAACTCTGGAACTGCCAAAACTGAACAAAAGCAGCTGTTAACTTGAAAACTACCACTAAGTGACATCACAAGGTGGAACAGAGCATTTTGAGATTTGGAGGTGTAGACACACTATTAATAAATGAATACTCAAACATGTGAATGAAACAGAAGATGGGTATGTTTTTGACGGGGTAAGAGTCAGTCTTGCGTAACATAGGACCTTTAATTAAAATTTGAAACAACATATTCCATCTTTTGGCGTTCATAACAGGAGAAATTTATCAAGTGGTTTTTGGTCATCTAAACAGATATGCTACTGTACTTAACCAGCTGAAGACAGTAGACACAAATATATTATGCAAACAGCTTTTATGAGCTTTAATCCCATTATAATTGTTTTCCCTCATATGTGCTGCCTGGAAGTTGTGTTCTGTTTTGCAAATTCACTGCTTGGAAATTCCACAGTGAAGTAGTCAGCAGCAGTGTATCAGTTCTGCAGTTTTGAACAGGAAGTCAATGGACCCATTTCTAATATAATGTTGGTTTAATTCACTATTATTTAAAATGTTAAATAATTATCTACATTTGTGATACTTTATTGCTAAATATTAGCTCCAGTCAAGTGAAGCTCATGAGGCTAGTAGTTATAGAGCAAATTTTGAGCCGAGTTCCATATAAGGAATAGGAATTGATTTACGGACAAAATTGTGACATAAAAACATCAGGATCATGTAGAGCGATTTAATACGAACATTTTTAGACCAAAATGAGGAGAGGACAACAGCAGTTACGGAGAAAGCAGTGATATTTTTTCAGTACAGAGTGAATTGGAGCCTAAAGCGTGCCCATGGTCACTTTCTATTTGGAATGTGGCAGCTAGAAGATTAGCTACGTATGTCCATTTTTATATACAGCCTACGGTCATACTGGTATTTCAAAACTAGTTTTAAATATTCACACACTTTACTTCATTTCATCTTAAAATGCATTTCTTCATAGTCTAAAATCTTGGCCATGACTTGGTGTCAGTTAGTGTGGGCTTGCCTCCATTTCTTGTACTTCATCCAGTCAGAGTGATGCAGGCAAATCTCAGTCAACCTGTTATGTTTTCACAGCCAAAAACATGATGAAATTATATCTTACCTCGAGCTCGATCACTTTATACTGAAAGAAAAACAAACATACACTTTAGTATTTCAACATACTGATAGTTGACAATATGGGCCTTTTCCAGTCTATGTCCTGGATGGAAAAGGCCCAGAGCGTGTATTGATTCAGATGTTTGGGTCAGATGTGCTGTGTGCCAAATGAACTCTGACAGCAGTTTATCACGGGAGTCCACACGGTGCACACTCCCACTCTCTCTTCAAAACCAACAAACAGGCCTTCTCTTGCCTCCCACTCCTTGAACCAAAATAGACCCAGCTCCTCAATGTATCGCACACACCACGTTGCAGTACACAAACTTGTGTACCAGTATAGACTTAACATACATATACATATATAGATAGACACATTTAGGTACTAGCAAAATAGAAGAGGAACATTTTACATAATTTGGTATTCCCACAGTACATATTTGTACATCTGAAATGAATAGTTGTAGTGGGATAACAAGAGTTGTGGTAGTTAGTGCAGGTAAGTAATTTAAAATATACCTTAGGGCAGGAATTAGGGATAACGGTCTCATGATACCGGTTAAGATGATATCCTTTAATCTTACACAATAAGACGATTTACAGGCTGATGTAGGTCTAGGACAGCTCATAATATATGAACTTTACCTTGTACAAAGCTGTGCAGTAGTTAGTTTCAAGATAAATAACAATTGCATAACACAATTTGATCAAATTTGTAAAAATTTAGTCTCTACACTGATATCAGTTAATATCAGGTATCATCAGATACTTAAATGTTAAGTATCAATATCAGTACTGGAACTAAAAGCTGTATCAGTGCATCCCTCGTAGAAATTATGAGCTATGAAGATTTAAGGAAATCAAACTTACCACTCTTTTCACAGGAATAAAGTTGGCATCCAGAGAGGTGATTCTGAATTTCACTAGGAATAAAAATCAGATGAAAATATAAAAAACTAATAAATAAATTTTTTGCAGGTAGCCATGATAGAATGTTGTTACCTAATTAAAACATACAAAGAGATGTGTGTTGTTTTTTTCACACATGTCTGAGCAATCCTTTATTATTAGTTTGTCTACATCTGTTCCACACAGAAATTATCCAAATGATTGTGGTGAAGGTGTATGAAGTGGAGCACTTCTTGTATTACCACATGACATCATAAGGTGGAACAGTGTTTTCTGTTTGAGAGAAGAGCTCACCCTAAATATGCAGGATTTGTGTGTTAAACATGTGTGAATGAAACAAAACTAAACTCCAGGTAGGTTTGTGATGAGGAAACAACATTATAACTTGGATCAGAAAATAGTGTAATTCAGGTCCTTTAAATATAATACAACTAAGCCTGGGCTGCCTGACTTTATTATTGTAAATTAGAACATTCTATTTAACCCTCATAGTGTTGCTATTGTACTAAGCAAAGCAGGTACAATTATAAACAATATATTAATTAGAAGACATAAAACCCAGTAGTACTAATTGGAATAAAAGACTGTTTTAGACAACCTATTACATACTTAAGTTAATCTCCTGTTTTTCAGTGATGAAGACATGCATAATAATGTGCCAATTTGCTGCTCCCTGCAAGCTTAAAAATGAATGGGATTTTTAATATTGCTTTGTAAAAAATCTCCCTTGATTTACAAACATCCACAAGCAGAATCTGTTGAGGAACCGCTCCCTTCCTAACTGCTGAATATAGACATAATTCCTAAAGTTGTCAAGTTGAGAATCAGCACTATGCAGATTTTGTAAAGTAATCTAAAATAGCGCAAAGGCAGCAGAATTTCTGAGCAGTGCCGAGAAGAGGTTGTATCACTCTACCCCCATGCTAAATACTATTAAAGATGCACTATGCAATTTTTTGGGGAGGAGGGTCTGTGTTTACATGTTTAAGTGCAAAGTAAATATAGATGATAAACAATTAATATTGCAACTAAACATTGAAGCAGAATTATGCCATTACTTGTATCTATTACCATAGAGAGAATCAGACAATGCCATCAGTCCAAGTTACAGGACAGATCTGTGGAGAGGTAATCCTGCTCACACTAAAGATGCATGATTGTGAACCAGTAAACCATCTGTAATTGAGTAAATGTGAGATAGAATAAATGTAATGCCATACTGTGAAAGATTCCAGGCAAGGCAATGACATTTCTAAAGAAACAAGCAGATAGTGGACCCCCTACAAGAAACGTTTCAGAGTGCAGAGTTAAAGAGATAAGAAATATACCAGTCTGGCCTGGTTTGTAGATGGGTTTGTCGGACTGAATGATGTGAATAAAAGTAGCAGGTTCGATCATTATTTTGGTCTTTTTACTCAGCGTGCCGCTCTCCCCCTGGATAGTGACGTTAACAGATGCTACTGTACTTCTGGGAACAACTGGGGCCTGCAACAAAAGGCAAATTACACCAGTCAAGAGCTACATATGATAAGATGACTACAAAAGAAGGAATACAAAAATAAGAATATATGGATAAATGGGGAATTGCAACTAGTGTTGTCAAAGAAATCAATGCCCAGATATTAACTGACACTGAAACTAGTATAAAAATCATATATGAATGAATATATACCGTACATAAAAAGGACGGAGTTGGGCATTTCCAAAATAGTTTTAGATTTTCATTAGGATCTATAGGAAAACTAGTTGTCTGACCAGCCAAAACCTTCTACATTCTGTGTGAATCCAGAAGGGACCATAGAGGGTGAAAAACCTTCGTCCAAACTTGGGACGCAGCATTTCTCATGTGATAGAAAGCTTCTCTCAAAAATTCTCATAACATTCAGAACAAGATATAGAACTTATTTTACCTGAAATAATTAATCTTTTGGTGCTTTGATTATTATTTCTTAATCATTTATGTTGTTTTTTTTCTTTTTTTTTAATGTGCAAGCAGCCACGTTTGTTTTTGACGTGAACAGAGTATGTGTCTCTTGGAATATCAGGATATGGCTCCAGACCCAGTCGTCTTTGTAAAGTTCAAAACAGTGTTCTGGCTGGTCAGGTAAGAGAACTAGTACATTGCCCCACTACATCAGTCTGGTATAGAAATTAGCATTCAGTAATCAAGGCATTTCCCTAGTAATGATTCAGTGATTGATTCATTATTTATTTATTTATTTAAACATTTTTATAGATGGACAGAGGAGCGCATGCTCCTACAGCTCCGCTCAAATAGTGAGTAGCTCACATATCACAATATATTATGATAAAGAGCAAGAATATAAATGGTAATAATACATTTAAAAGAAGTAGCAAAAATATTAAGAGACTGGTGTCAAATAAGGCATAATTATATCAAATGTATATGTACAAGTAAAAATAAACTATAGAAATATAGTTATACAAATATATCTCAGCCATACACAAGAGGTCAGTAAGAAAAAAACAGTGCAAAGATTAAATGAATTGACCTGACAGGGTGATCTATTACATTAGGGTGAGTTGTTGTACAGTTGTATGGAGCATGGTATCAATGTAGTCCTGTATCTCTGTGTCCAAATAATTTCCCTTGTCTAAGTCTAAGTCTATAAGTATGGTGAATAATATTGATATCATCTTTATTCTTTGGTTCAAAAGGCATTCTGTGTTATCATATCCAAAGTTGGGAAACATTACAGTGATACACATATTGTATAAGTCACCATGTTGGAAACAGGCCATTTTCTGTAATGCTGCACAGTACCATCTGGCTGTAGGTCCATTTTAAGTTACATTAGTCCCCCTCCATCGCTCAGGCTTAATTAGGAAAAGTACTCATACTTGTATAGCACATGTTTTCACTTCTTAATGGAGTTGCTATTACATAAGCGATGCTGGAACTAGTCCCAAACGCTGTGGTTTGGGGCAGAGCAGGGGCTGAGTACAGGGCAGTGGAGGCTGTAGTCCAGAGGAATGTAGGTACAGGTTTGGCCTCTGGCAGAAAGCTCTCATTGTGGAGTATTGACAAATGCCAGAGGAGCAGCAGGAGGTCCACACACACGCCTATTGTCACAGGGTGAGGGGGGTCGGGGGCATTTGGCATCACTGTGCACGTACCGTAAGTTGCATAACAGTGTGCAGTGGTCTGACGGAAACCAGAGCTGCAATTTACTCACAACAACCATTTACTTTGTCAGCACTGGTCTTGCTAGAGCCAATACATGGATACGTAATCAAGCCAAAATCTGTACAATTGGTTCAAATTATGGCGTGAGGTTACAGTAATAGAGGTGTATTATACCCCATTTACTTGTTGAAAGTAAATCCAAATAAGTATAGTTCTGTATCTGAGTTTCCACTGTGTTGAGTCATACCTGAAAGGTAATACAGCGGTAGAAGTCCTTCTCAATGGTCTCCTCTAACAGAGTGCTGCTGCTGGACTCCAGCACCAGAGCCACAGTCAGGACCACTGGCTCAGAGGGCCCATGCACCTGGGTGCATAAGGTCTGTGGAGCGGCCGCTTTCACTCGAGAGCTCACAGTCACCACATATATCCTATATGAGAAAGACAGAGCAAAGATGAACAGACTGGTAAGACTATATTGGGGTTCATATTACGGGGTGTGATGAAGGCATATTCTCAGATGAAGGGCATTAGACAGTTTTCCCTATTGACAATTATTGTTCTCACTTTATAAATATTTTAAATTTAAAAGAAAAAGGTAACCAGGTCATTTGTATTAGTAACAAGACCCTAGAATCTTACAATTGCTGCTCCCATCTGCATTAAAAATGAGTAGCCTATAGAATGTCTGATGTCATATAAAATCCTGCAATATGCAAGACAACCATACACAATATTTTCCCATTACAGTGCACTATGCAACTACCTCCTGTAGTCGACAAGATTACCACCAAAAACAGAAGAGAAACACTATTTGTGTTACAGCCCATGTTTTTGTACAAGTGTGCTTTTATATAGGGACCAGATAGGAAACAATAATTAGCAGAAACTTGTTGAATAAAGTTAGGTTTTAGAGTGATGAAACAGATATGTTCCTCTGTTACAGCCTGAGCAGATTTTAAAGAGCCATTATGTGCAGCCTCGGGCCCTCTGCTGATTAGTGTTTGAGGTTGTGCTGGAGCCTGGTTGGCACGCACAGATCGTCCACTGCCAATGAGAACTAAAGGACACATTTAATTGAGTTTTGGTGATGCTGTGGAGAATGCTGATGCTGTTTTTGCCTCAGAGAAACTGATGATGAAACTTCTTTGACTGGACAGCTCCATGCTCCCTGTGAAAGGCATTTAGGTCATGGAAGACTCAGATAAGAGGCTCAGATAAGACAGTTAACCAGGACACATCAATGAGTCCCAACATTTGGAATGGACAGATACAACTCTTTCAGTATTTGTCATTATGCAGTTACATAAAGAAATGTTAAAGGTACACTTTGTCAGTTTTCTGGAGAGGGTCTGCAACATGCTTATCTCCATAGGAATGTTACTGCTTAGCCTGAAATGTTGCACAGCAGGCCATATACATTCTCATCTTACCTGATCTGAACTGTAAGGGCCTGGTAGCAAGGTAGACTTTTAAATACCAGCTGACAAATACTTGTTACGAGAGGACATTGATTAGCATTACAGAAGATATACTAACATTGCAACAAGTAGACATCCTGTTATACAAAGTGGTTAGTAACAGAGTCTGCAATGTGGCAAAAATGAAGGCGTTAATTAAGGTGCCCAGCATGTTTTAACCACAGAGAGATGTCCAAAGATTGATAATGTAGGCATTCAACTTCAGATTTCAAAATGTTAAATGCACATTCAACAGAATCTAACACTGCACAGGCCCAAACACTGCTCTTCACAGATTGCATAACAGCAGAGGGGGACTTTGCAGCCTCCACGCGGGGATGCTGCTGCTGCCTGACCCATCATCATCACGTGCATGCACCGTGACGCACAAACCTAAACTGCAACATGCAGTGCACCTGAACTTCAGCAGAAACTTTTTTACTCACGTGTCGTTGATGTTGCCTGCTGTCGCCGTTTGTAAAAGTACAGACGCGACGATGAGCGCCAGAACTGCGGTCCGGACAGGTGCCATGACCGCTGTGGTTTGTTCTTTAGCAGCAGTGGCTAACGGAGAGGACCAGGCTGCAAAGGGCTACGCACTTGGAGCGGGACGCACGCAGAGGGACGTGCAGGCCACAAAAGTTGCTCAAACGGAGGGCGGCGGTAGTTTGCTGTTTATACCCCAAAGCGTGACCACCTCCCTCTGAGTCACTCCCCTCGTGAGCCCGTGTTCGTTGGACCTTTATGCCTCCTCCCTTTTCCCAGCGGACTCACTTCCCAAAAGTTTAAATCCCGGACACACCACATATTGTGGTTCTTTTGGTTTCTCGAGAAACTGTTAAAGTTAACCTTATCTTGTTTTGGCTTGGGAGCGAAGGAAAAATAGCCTTCTCAGTAATAATGGGTTGACCAATAAGCCTTATTTAGAACTCTGTCATAGACAGAAACGCTAGTCTATAGATCAACGGTGTCAGACTCAAATTCACGGAGGGCCAAAATTAAAAATTGGAACTAAGTCATGGGCCAGACTAAATATTTATTGAAAAATTTCAACAACATCTGCATGTTTTCTCTTCTTTCAAGATATGTAATGTTTTACACTTATTAAAATAAATGTTTAATAATAGTTTTACTTAAACACTGAATCCAGAACAAGCACAATATGAAATAATAACAAAATTTTAATTAAATAATGTCTCTATAGCCTATCTGTAGCCAGCCAGCTCTAATACATATTTGATATGATCTCGCGGGCCAAATTTGGCCTCGGGGGCCTGAGTTTTACATGTCTGCTGTAAGAAACAAACCTTGCATTTAACACAACCTACCTGTAGACCTAATCCATATAATACAGATGGCACTAGGGCTGGGCCTATATTAACACTAAATATACAGCTGTTTATAAATGTTAAGTGGCAAAAATAGGCTACAACATAATGAAATCACAATTTAGTCTCATCTTTGGAAAACTTGTCTATAGGGTTTTAGAAGACCTTTGGACCTTTGCAGACCTCTCAGTTTCTTCAAAGAAATGTCAATACTGCAATTAGGTCTAACACTTCAAAGAAATATCAATACAACATTTTTTATGGTTCTGAAATGAAGCAAATCTGCTTATAACTCCTCAGTATGTTTGGTGCAATATCTCGAAATAGCATCAGGAAGCCTTCGATGAGACTAACAGCCAGTGAAGGAATGTAGCATCATCTTACAAAGGGAATTGGAGACAAGTCAAAGGTGATTTTACAACACACAGGGGAGTACACACTATGCACCCCCTGGCATTTCAAAAACTCTATTTGAACTGAGCTAAACAATGCAAATGACTGATCTCTATTATAATGCTGTCTCCTCATCACAAACAGACCTGGAGTTGTGTTTTATTTCATTCACACATATTTAATACACAAATCCTGAATATTTTAAGTTTTTCTCTTAAACAGAAAACACTCTGTTCCACTTTATAATGTCTTGTGGTAATACAGGAAGTGCTCCACTCTGTTTTTAAACTCCATACACCTTCACTTCAATCAGCCCTGGAATTGCCAGTCTTCACTGAATTAAAAGTAAAAGAAGCTGTTAACTTGAAAACTACCTTTTGGGTAATATAGGGCATTTAAAGCATATATGATTTGTGGTAGTTTGAGTTTATTTTATTGCTGATCATTGTCATGGTGACAATATGTCTTTCCTGCAGGTTTTCTTCTCTCATCTTTTCTCTTTTGTTTTGTGTCGCCTTTGATCTTCGCTGCTCCAAAACCAATCAGATCCAGGGCTGCATCTGTCCGGGTGTCAGATGAACAGGCAGAGATTGAGTTTGAGATGGGGTCAAAGAAATCTCTCAGAACAATAAGAAAGCATGCAGAGGGGCTGAAATTATTCATTACAATTCAAAGTGAGCCCTGGTCTGTGCAGAAGATAAGAAATAACAATCTTCATTTTCACACTTCATGATATCTTTCGGCTCATAATAATAGGGCAGAACAAAATCAGCCACTAGAATACAGCCAACTCTGTCTTTTACTTGAAGGCACACTATGAAACTTTTTGGGTGGGGGTCGGTCACCTGCATGTCATTGCTTTGTCTGCAATCATTCGCAATATGGCATTAAATTCATATAGCTTGCATTTTTTGAGTTGCAGATGTTTAAATAAAAAAAGAAAACACATGGACTAAGTGAGCATGACTTCACCCACAGCATTTGACTCCAGCCAAATGAAGCTCACCGAGGCAGTTATGGGGCAAATATGGAGTTCCATATTAGGAATAGGAATTGGTTTACGTCCAAAATAGCTGAATAAAAATACCAGGATCATGTAGATCACATTATATTTTAAGACCAATATGAGGAGTTTGAATGCAGCAGTTATAGAGAGATAGGTGATGTTTTTTCATTACAAAGGGAATTGGAGCCAAAGTCGATGAAGCCAGAAACGTGCCCATGCTCACTTACTATTTGAAACACGCTGGCTAGTGTAGTGTAGTGCTATGTATTTATGTATAAAGTCTATGCCTTCCACCAGAAAAGTCACATTGCACCTATAAACACTGTTGTATGCCAGCTGCTTGTGTGGGGAAATTGTGATTCTGTTCTCCCATATCACACAGCTCTACCCCAGAACACACTCTGACAATGCAGAAGCTTGTCTAAACCATATAGCAAAAACTGAAAAAAACAAAAAAAAACAGTTACTGTAATGAGTACTGAGTCACTCTGAATTCTCCTGAAGTAGTTACACAACTGGAAAATCACTCACCCAAAATAATACTGTGAGTGTTATTTGGACGTTAAATTCCAGGTCTGAAATTATCCAAATGATTCTAGTGAAAGTGTATGCATGAAGGTTAAAAACACACTTGAACACTTCCTGCATTACCACATGACATCACAAGTGTTGTCGAAGTTTTCAGTTTGTCCAAGAAGAGAGACCAACTGGATGTCTTAAGCAGGAGAAGTTTATTTACCATCAGTAATATGGGCCCGGGGTTACTTGAAAAGTCAACATAGTATGATTTCAAAAGTGAACATAATGTGATCTTTGAGTGTTCAAACCCCTTGACTATGCTTCCAAAGGAGGAGGTTTATAAAGCAAGTGGTGAGGCTATGAAGGCCAGTAGACATCCGTTAGTGCAATATGCCACAATTTAGATAATGGTATGCCAATGGTATGCCAAGGGAAGATCATGGTGTAAATATAGCTTTTGTGAGTCAATGTTAAACTAAGAGATGTACGTGGAAGAAAAATTACTTAAATTCTGTTACACCAAAGTGGAACAGAGTGTTTTCCGTGTCAGAGAAGAACTCAGCCTAAATATAAAGAGTTTGTAAGTTAAGCATGTGTGAATGAACTAAAACTGAACTCTGAGTATGTTTTTGATGAGGAAGCAGCATTATAACATAGAACAGAAAAATAGTGTAATATAGGCCTGTTATTGTGACAGGCTTTCCCATACATTACATACCATATAAATCCATGCATAATATTTTTTGACTGTCACTGTATTTGCATATGTCCCAGTATCTTTCCATACACTGTCAGACAATGTGCTCTTTAGTCCATGGCCCTGACGCTTGATCACACATGTCCGACCCGGGCTGAAATCTCATTTAGATTCTTGTTTTTCTCCGCTTTAAAACCACCCTGTCTTATTTGACGTAAACAAGGCTAACCCACTTTCTTCCATTGTTTCGCATCACTGTAAACCTATTGCATAAATATGAGAGGTTTGAATACAGTCAGTGTGTGTGTGTGTGTGTGTGTGCGTGTGCGTGTGTGCGTGCGCGGGGGTGGGGGTCTTCACAAGGATCTTCTTCTGTTTTTGAACCAAAACTCAGGTCCCCATAAGGTAAATCCTTCAATATCAACCCAATAACAAGATATTCAGTAATTGTGGCTAAAATCAGTTAATATACTCTTCCCACAACCATGGAAACCCAATCATATGTCTGTGTGTGTGTGTGTGTTTGCAACAGCTGTCAGCAGAGGGCGTTGTTGAGCGCAAGCCTGTTTGTTTCATCTCCAATTCCAGGGAGGGGTTAATTAAATCAGGATCTACAATTCCCTCTAATGAATTCTTTATTAAAACAATATGTTCACTCTCTGTTATAATTTAAAAAGGTCAATTAATTACGAATTGATGCCACAAATGAGATGATCTTTCACAGTTAAACGGTCCGTGGTCCATAGTGCAATAGCATTGGAGCAAAACCACAGCAGAGGGTAACAAAGGAAAGTGAAGGCGCTACATAGGGATTTGGATGTTCAAAGGAGCAGCTTTTTGCCTCTGGGCCACGCAGGGCTGCTGTTGAGTTGGAGAATGAAATGTGTTGTTTAACAAGCCTTTATTGGAATCCACACTTCTCCCAAAATGTTGAGGATCAGGGACAAACAGAAAGCCGCAGTGGAGTTACATGAGTCAAATATATCATTTTTGGTGTTGGTATAAGAGAAAAATACGCAGGGATATGCACAGAGCTTCAGGTGGTGGATACAACACAGTAGGTTGTCTTCTCTCTCCTCCTCTAGAGGGACAGAGGAGCTCTTTCGCCAACATGCTCCCACAGCTCCGCTCAAACAGTGAGAGATACAGGACAAATTTATACCATACTCCATACAACTGTACAACTCTAATGTAACAGATAACCCTTTGTCCTGTCAATCATCATATCAGTTTTGCATCTTTGTTTTCCTTACGACAATTTGTATAGAGCTGAGATACATTTTTATTGGTTAATTTCTATATTTTCATTTTATTTTTATTTATGTACATATGGATTAATATAATTATGCCTTATTTGACACTCTCTTGTTATTTCTGCTACTTATTTAGAATTTATTATTACTATTTATTTATTTTTTTCTCTTAGTTATTATAATATATTGTAATGTGTGAGCTACTATGTCCAAATCATTTCCCCTGTGCATCAATAAAGTTTGTCTAAGTCTGTCCAGTTTGCAGAGGGCAATTAGTTTACTTTGGTTTATGCTGAGAGTCCCTTGGCTGCTACTGAGTCCCGGACAGTGCCTCTCAGCTCAGGGTACTTTTGAATAGCTTCATGTGGCTTAAGAAACAAAGGGATATTCCCAAAGAGATTACCCGGACACGCTTCAAATGGTGTTTCTGAAATAACTACAACACTGCAGTTTGTATATTTAGGTGGTGTACTACTGTTTAGATTCTGGGGTCATTCAGAATAAAA